TTGTCATCCTCAGATTGTAGTCACTCATTGGTCTTAGACGGTACTTTTACAACAAAGTTTTCTATCTGGTGACCCAACTTGCCTCCAGATGGCACTGAAGTGCTGAGAACTACCACGGGATGATTGTCATGCTCCGATTGTAGTCAGTCATTGGTCTTAGACGGTACTTTTACAACAAAGTTTTCTATCTGGTGACCCAACTTGCCTCCAGATGGCACTGAAGTCCTGAGAACTACCACGGGATGATTGTCATCCTCAGATTGTAGTTACTCATTGGTCTTAGACGGTACTTTTACAACAAAGTTTTCTATCTAGTGACCCAACTTACCTCCAGACGGCACTGAAGTGCTGAGAATTACCACGGGATGGTTGTCATCCTCAGATTGTAGTCAGTCATTGGTGTTAGACGGTACTTTTACAACAAACGTTTCTATCTGATGACCGAACTTGCCTCCAGACGGCGCTGAAGTGCTGAGAAATACCACGGGATGGTTGTCATGCTCCGATTGCAGTCAGTCATTGGTCTTAGACGGTACTTTTACAACAAAGTTTTCTATCTGGTGACCAAACTTGCCTCCAGACGGCACTGAAGTGCTGAGAATTACCACGGGATGGTTGTCATCCTCAGATTGTAGTCAGTCATTGGTGTTAGACGGTACTTTTACAACAAAGTTTTCTATCTGGTGACCCAACTTGCCTCCAGACTACACTGAAGTGCTGAGAACTACCACGGGATGATTGTCATGCTCCGATTGTAGTCAGTCATTGGTCTTAGACGGTACTTTTACAACAAAGTTTTCTCTCTGGTGACCCAACTTGCCTCCAGTTGGCACTGAAGTGCTGAGAACCATTATGGAATGGTCATCGACCACAGATTCTAGATTCACTTTTGAAATAAAAAGTTTGATCACTTAAAATAATTCAAAATTATTTACATACGAAAATGTAATCTTAACATGGTGCAAACATATAGATGCTTACGGATCTAGATCATGTAAAATTTACTGAAAAGACAGAGGTTACTTCAATTCATATTACGGATGCAACACTGACATTAAGCACATTAAGTTTCCCTGGGTATATCTCACTGTGCTTAGGTGTTTCTGATATTTGGTGGCTTAGCCTGAATTTCCCTTTCCCGTAATGAAACTATACTGAATTTGTACGAACTGCATTCTGTTCAAGACTTGCTACATCACTGTAAAAATCAAGAGAACAAAGCTTAGAGACCGCTAACCTGGGCCGTGGAAAAATAAACTCGTGAAGCTATTCAACGATAGCTGTTAAACAAAAACTGTGTTGAAGAAAGTGTTGGGGGGTTGTTAGCTTATATTTCAATCCATCGGGTGACTATGACTGACCAAGCAATATGTTGTAAGCCAGACCTTCAGTGTTATCTAGAAAATAGCCTGATAAGTAGAATTTCAATTGTGTAGTTCGTATAACTCACTTCAAGAGTGTGCAATAAGACAAACCATCAAAGGAAGCTTACATAATTGTTTATTTAAGTGTGTGTAACTTTTATGGACAATCAAATCTCTTTAATTACATATACACTAGACATGTACATATTTGCATAGTTCAACAAATGTGTTTTTTATGAAATGGTAACTTGAGTTAGTTGGTAATTCACAAATAAAGACAACAGCGAGAAAGACAAATATGAAAATAAAAAAAACACCGCATGAAGCTTTCAATAAAAGGCGATTCTTTATGTATAAAGCCATAAGAATAAGCAACAACAAGAACTTTATTCCGACTAGTTCAAGCCACCTTTTGAGATGACATACATTGGAGAGTTTCAAGTTCATAATATAAGAGCTTCAGTGACCGAGAAAGCTCAAAATTTTCCCGATTGTGAATGTATGAGCTTGTTTCGTGTACGCCAACAGCCTAGCTACCGCCTCTCAACCTTTTGCAATTTGCAATAAATGCAGTCAAGGTCACAAAGAAGTTACAGGGAAAGTCTTGTGTAATTTGTCTAGTGCATTCTTCGATTATACCCTAACTAAACGACTAGGGTTTGGGTTATTGGTTTAAGGATCCCAAGGCTGCTCAAACCGGTCACCGTGGTTGCCGTTTTCAGGATATTGGCGTACTGGGGCATTTATAAAGTTGACAAGTAATCTGTGCCTGCGGCGGGACACATCGAGTAAAAACTTCACTTCTTGTTTTTTTGTGAACTCGACAGTGAAACTGAAGTCTGTTTGAGGCTGCAGCGGATGTTCAACGACGGTACAGTACCGTTCTGTCACCTTTCTAATAGAAACGAGTACGGTCGTTGCAAGGACCTCGCGGCGATCTTTTGACGACTTCTATTCGACGATTTCTAGGCATTTTCGCAGCTGCCGTGGCGAGTTCGTCACTGTTTTGAACTTCATCGGTCTCAGGCATGACTGGATTTTAGTAGTCATCTTACCTGCCAACTTATTCTCGACGATGTTTTGTCTTCAGCGATGTAGCGAGTGGAGCGTCCTTCTCACGTTCAGTGAGATTTGGGGCCCCCGATCAAAATGTAAGCACGAAAACTACTGTTACTGTCAAGATATTCTGTTATCAACCGATATTAAACACACAATCACAGATGTAAAGAGCATACATGTTTATTTAAAGCTCTGACTCCTGTTTTTAAAAGTTAAGCTTGAAAATTATTAAATTTGGAGACCTTAAATTCGTTACTCACCGAAGAAATACAGCGAAAAGCAGACGCCTACGACGCCTACAGCAGCAGTTTTTTTGTTTACATCACGTGATTCCTCTCCGCCAATCATGTTCGTCCCTCTGAGCGTTCCCTAGTTTGCTCTGTTTGTCCCTAGATTCCCTACGCAAATCCAGCGTTTAGCTAGGGGCGCGTCTGTGAAGCCGGCTTAACGTTGGTGCAACCGGAATTTAAACCTGTGCTTACCTAAGCTCGGTTTAGGGCGCTAAGCCGGCTTAGGAAAGCGCCGCTTTGGGTTAAGGTAAGCGGCGTTGGTGCAACCGGCCCTTAGACTGGCAGAGTGCGCGATGGCGTCTCGCCAATAGACCACCGGGTCAATATTTGTTTTCTGGGGGATCACCTTGAGCTCGCATTGACCGAAATCCTTTTGAAGTAAATGCGCGTCGTCGGTCACCTACCTCAGACGCGACTTCTACTGATCAAACACCTGGCTGAGGAGACACTTCCGAAATAAACCCGAGATTGCTCTATGGAAGTCGCACAGGCACTCAAAAGAACCAGAAAAAACACTGGCAAAGAAGGCATCCGCTATACCTGACGCGGGCAAACGTCTCTCGGTGAGCCCCGGCGTTTCGGCGAAACTGGCTTACCAACGGCCCACTTGTCATGACGTCGTGATAACGGCAGCGCGGAACGCTTAAGGCTTGTCAATTCATTTTGATGAGACGTCGGGGTGCAGTCAAAAAGACACCAAAATGCGTCATGGCGGCGTCTACACCCCCCCCCCCCCCCCCTCGCGTCTCTCATGCACGCACCAGAATTAACACAATGTAGTTCATAAAAGAGTTACATAATAAAGTCGGAAACAACAGTGGTGGTATTTAGGTAGCGAACACGGGAGAGGAAATATGTGCTAAAATATGCAGCGCAAAGACATAGGACAAAATAATTGACATAAGCAAAGTTGAGTGATAACTGAAAAAAGACAGGATTGTATTCTAGTGATCACAGTCTCATGCGCGCTGTCAACAAATCACTGGGTGGTTGCGAAGAAAAGGAGAACGTGACCCTATAGGAAAACCATCAAACAAAAATTGGTGTTTTTTCCATGCCTCATGAACATGAAGTGTATGTATTTGAAGCACCACAGGCTGTTTTCAGTACTATGTGGGAGTGAAAAAAAATATATATATCAAACTAACGCAATGAACGGAGTGCATTGAATATTTTCAGAAATGTGTCTTTAGGTGGCTCATTTATCAATTTCAAAGTTTATGAGTGTACGTTTCAAAACGACAATATAAACAAATAAAAAGCGTCTTTTTTTTATGCACAGTCATGAAGGCGTTAAGAACCGTCTGGTTCACGCTGCTACTCATAGATGGTGCCACACACAGTCTGATCTGCTGCATCTGCTTTCGGCTATCCACCTCAAAGATGATTTCAGGTTTTGGGTTATGTTGTGCTCTCTGTGATTATATAGCAGCGTCAAGCAGAAGGTGTTTGTGCCGTTTTTTTTTTTTTTTTCTTGTGCATAGAAAAAAAAAGAGTTATTCTTGTAGGGTAGATTGTTCAGCTAGTTGGTTTTGGAACTCGGAATACATTTTAGCACTCAAAAAACAAGGACAAAGAGACGAGAAACAGACAGCACAGTGCGCTTTGTGCTGTCAGTTTCTCGTCTCTCTGTCCTTGTTTTTTGAGCGCTGAAATGTATTCCGAGTTATTCTTGGTTTTCTTTTTTTCTTTCTTGAAACCTACACTTTAAAAAAAAATGAGTATCATAAATGCACACCCTATAACGACATCTTTGAGAAACATTGTAACTCAGTTCATTGACTTATTCATGCGTATTATCTCACCCGAATAGCGCTCGAGAACACCCTGCGGATAGTCAATGAAAAAAACAACATTTCAATGTCTTTGAAGTGTGTGTATGTGTGTGTGTGTGTGGGGGGGGGGGGGGCGGGGGTCGGGGGGTTAGCATGAAACTCTTTCCTAACGGCCCTATAGACCCTCAGCCGGCAGCCGCTAAGTAGGCATATCCGGTATCGGCGAAGAAAAAAATAATAAAAAATTTCAACCTGTAAATAGTAAAAAAATTAAAGAGAGACAACACAACAATGGATGACGGTTGGGCATATATTCTAAATGCATTCTATTGGCGTGGCGGGGGCAAAACAATGTTTTCGCCCATACTAGAAGTGACGATATTTCAGGCGACGCCCTTGTGAGTGGCGACGCCCTTGTGAAAAAGGTCTATAGATAGTGCTCTAGCCCGCACTGCAGTTAGCTGTGCCCACGAATATGCCTTTAATAGGAATAAGAAGACGATCGCACGCAGGGAAACATTATCTGTCTCCAGGTGATCGTCCTCGACGAGCCTTCGGCCGGAATGGACCCGGAAAACAGGCGAGACATGTGGAGCCTGTTTCTGCACCTGCGCAAGCGAAGCACGCTCATAATCTCCACGCACGACATGGAAGAGGCGGACACTTTGGCCGACAACATTGTCGTCATGCGCCGCGGGAAAGTGCATTGCAGCGGATCGCCCTCCTTCCTGAAGAAGGCTTTTGGTCAGCGCACCTCTTACGATCGTTCCCACGCTCCCAATGTGCCCACAAACAAGAGTGAACTGCACGCACTGATTTCTACTATAGGGGGCTAGATGGCACATAGCTGCTGTTCAAGCCTGGCGCAGGTGAAGCCACCGAAATCCTCGGTGCTTGTTCCGGAAGCCGGGCGTCTGCTGGGCTTGCTATGCGGAGAGCAGGTCGTCTGCTTGTCTCGAGGCCTACGCACTATTTGTTCCAATCATCCAATACGAGCTTGGCGTTCTGACATCATCGCAACCCTTGTGCAGGAAGCAGACGAACTTGCATTGCATTCAGTTGATGCCTTGGCACATGTTTGATTGTGGCTTTTAGTGGGTTTTAATAATACCATTTTGAATCAGATCCCTATGATAAGGCATATAAACGTGGAGCGTATACAAACTTCATCAACTAGAATCTCAAAATGTTCACATCGAATGACTTCCCACGAGACCTCTCGGGTCTGCACGAGCTGTGACTGCGCAAGAAGTAGGCTCTCTCCAGATGACAAGAAAACCTCCAGCGCCTTAAACGCTGTCGAAACCCGCATTCGGAAGAGTGGAAAAGCTTGTCAAGCGCTCACTTCCGCGGGACAATCCGCTAATTTCCGGTGGCTTCATACTTGCTTGCTAGATGCGCCACCTGGACCCCCCAGTGGAGATCAGTTGCCTGTGCGGACCATTCCGGAGCTTATTACCTGGGCGCAAAATGTCCAGTGATCGGTCTGCGGACGCATGCGCGATGTCTGATACTTCGAACAATGAGTGTACTGCGCACGCTCAGAACGTGTCCCGCAGCTTATTCGACGAAAATCACTCCAATGGGGACCTTCATAATTATCTATATTATTCGCCAAATGCACTACACATGTACATTCAACAAACATGAATACGCGACTTGGTAATACATTGGCTTGAAACTATGACCCATCTCATTAAGAGATAATATATGTCTCAAAATGAAGAAGGTTGTATTCACTGTCGGCTAACGTTACTAAAACACTCAGTTGGGAAACTCGCCTTTGAAACCTGGACCGCTGGCGTCCACCAAGGCCATACTAAATACAATAACGACGCTACCCCTTAGCGACGACTTAAAACATGAAAGTTGCTTTGTATGGCTACTGCTGGCTACTCGAGATGGTCCTGCGAGATGGCGCCACCGGCCCATACGCGACTTGACCTCAACCAATACCTGCAGCCGTGCAGTTCCCGGAGTGGGCGCTGCGGGAGAAAGGGTGGCGCTGCGATCGCGTTTAGTTTGGTTCTCGAGTACTGATTGGAGCCGCTTTTTTAATGCTGGCTCCCGTGGCAGTTTCCTAACTGAGTATTCTTGTAGCGTTACTCTCAGCTGAGAACAACCTCGCTATGTTATACTCCCTGTAAAAAAAAAGTTTAAAAATAAGTTATTTTTACGTGATTATAGACGTTATTTTTTTATAATAATATCACTAAAAAGAAGCTCCGATTTTTTGTTGTTTCCTTGGTTTCAATTACACACTTTCTCCTCTAGGCACAGGCTACAGGCTGACAATCGAGAAGAATGACGCGGTGTTTCAGCTGGATAGGGTGATCAAGATTGTGCGTCAGTTTGTTTCAACCGCGAACGTACAGAATGACAAGTTGAACGAGGTGACTTTGGATCTTGGAGTGAGTGAGCCGGATGGATTCACCAGCATGTTTGAGAGTTTAGAGAGGCACAGCGAAGAACTCGGAGTTCAGTCCATTGGTGTGAAGGTGACTACCATTGAAGACGTGTACGTGAAGTAAGTGAAGTTTCAACTTATTTAATCGAGGCTTGTAGCATTTATACAACGTAAAGTCATGTGTCAATAATAATGATAATAAAATTATAAATAAAATAATATTAATATAATAAAATTAATCAATCAATCAGTGTTTATTATACTGTCGAGAAACAACCTATCAGTTTTTGCGCTGGCGCACTTCAATAAAAAATACACTTGCACACACAAATACACCGAAATACCTTAAGTTCAAAGCAGCAACGCTGTCTACATGTTTGGTACTAACATAACAACAGATTCAGAGGTACGCTCAAGCTCCAAGACAAACATAAACCACAAAGCAGAGACAAGAACAAGGCATTCATATATTAGGCAACTAGAAATCGCATAATATTTTGTTTGTTAAAATAATATGACTGCAGATTTCCACTTTCTTTATGCTTACTCTCTGCAGTTAATTGGGGATATTAATATGTTAGAACGGGAACAGCAACAGTGTTGTAACCAATCTACAACCCGACAAAATATTGACCCCTTACTTTACTTATCAAAATTTGATCTTGATTCCGCAGTGCTTACGAAGAAGCTGAAATGAGTGAGGACTCTTGCGATGGAATGTCTGCTTCTGGTAAGAGACACACTTTTGACATGTGGTGCAAAGAACTGACCACCAATGTCAGGAGCGCCATTGTCGTGGTGTATATTGGCTTTTTAATAGCACACTCTCAAGAACAGCAGAAAAGGCTTACAAGTTTTCTGTACAAGCTGTTTGCGCCACTTCCGGCCGCCATGACAAGGGGTGTACTTCCGGTTCTCCTATGTTTACCTTCGGTTTGAGTGGGTGCGCGCGACTATTGGTTCACTAGCGAGCAATACACCTTTGGCTATATTACTTAAGCATGAAAGAGAATGTTAGGAACGTAAGTACACTCGCTGCACGTGCTCGTCTGCACTATAAAAAAGAGTCGAAGTAAATAACCAAAATAAAACGTCCGTAGAACGTGCGTGCGAAGGGCCATTTGTTTTAGATTTTTGCTTTCGAGCAATTAGGGCGGAAGACGCGAGCACGCCCAGCGCGTGTACCTACGTTCCCGGCATTCTATTTGATGCTCAGATAAGTCGGTAGAATGTCTATTGCGCGAGCGACGCCCCAGTCTCGTGCTTTTATGTTGCCAATGCGCACCGACACGAATAATGTCACACGTGAAGTTCTTTCGACTATCTCGAGACGAGGGACGCCAACGACGCCACCTAGCTTCGATGATCGCAGCTAAGCGGACGGTTCCATCCGAGACCATGACGGTGCTCGCCTACTTCGATGTTCTGCCGACAGATGGCGCAACGCGACAAACCCGTAGATGCGGCGCCGGCGGCGCCTCGATCAACCATCTCCGCACAACGATAGGTGCCAACCGGGAAAGTACGGCACGTATAGTTGTAAGCACGGCGCTCCGGGAAAGAAACCTTGAATACCGAAGCAAGCAACTCAAAACATTAGACAATGGGGCTTTACAAATACTCGCATCGCGCTGAAGGAAGCGTAATGAAAACGTTACGAAGATTATCTGCTACAACCAAGACCCAGCTCGACAACCCGCGCAGGGAAGCTGGGCGCGCATCTTCGGCAGTCTTGGGTAAGTTACTTTAAAAAAGTAATTCGTTACAGTTACAAGTTACCAAGAAAATAACAAAATTACAGTAACGCGTTACTAGTAACGCGTTACTACCCAAGACTGATCTTCGGCGCCTAGGAGAGGTTGGTCTCTTTAAGTCGTTCTTGGTTATATGGACCATGCAGACGGCTCGAATAGGTAGTTGTGAAGATTCGCTAGCACCACCTTCGGCAGATTTGTCATTTCTTTGAAGAACAAGTGCTTTTTCTTTTCACCCATGGGACCAGGAAGGCATTTCAGGAGGTATACCACAGCTAGTCCTCGGCGGTGAGACTCGCTATTCGCTGCGGGTCCTCAAAAGCAAGAAAAACCAATAGCCAGCCATAAACAACATACTACCCCCAGAACTTCAGTCATGATGGTTTTCGTTTACCTCCGCACACGCTATACTATGTCTCTACACGATGCTACAACTTTTAGTTCGTTAAATCATTCAATTTTTTGTGTATTTTGACGAGACTCGAGATGAAGAGCGTCATAGGTACAAATCTACTACGCATGCTAAGAATGCTTGAATGCGGAGCGCAAGCAGTTTGCTTCTTGTGCAGGAGTTGTGGTGACGTCAGAACGCTGCCGAGCTTTGATTGGCTTTGATTGGAAGGATAGTGGGTAAACCTTGAATGCTAAATGCCTCGAGATCTACCAACTTTTTTTTTCAGTCAGCCAATAAGAGCCTGGCGTCCTAGCATCATCGCAACCCCTGTATAAAGAAGCAAAAGAACTTGCGCCCCGCATAACGCTCTGTATACGTATTATCAATTTCGTTCATTCAGTTTAGAATAATTGTGAGATGCACTCATCAAGGGGGAAAAGGTTGGCTCGTGCTGCGCTTTGTTTGGGCGACAGCGCCCCTGTATACGATTCATATGCGCCTTTTATCCCGGGTCACAATAACAGGTATGTGTGTTTGTGCGTGTGTTTGTGTGTGTGTGTGGGGGGGGGGGGGGGGGGGCGAAAAGTTTCTATCGCTGATATCTGTGTTCCCGAGAAAAGGAACCAAGAGAATTAGCTAAATATATCTGAATGATGTCACATGCAAGAGCACAGGCGTGTTCGGATATAACTTCCTACACTTACTGCCATCTGTTGTTGTTGCTGTTGTTGTTGTTTACTATTCTCTAAAGCGAGCTAAAAAACCAATATCTGTGACAAAATGGTGTTTCAATGCTTCCCCGCGTTCAATCTCACCAGCAATCTAGGACTGCTTTATCAATGTCCGCTCCTATACCCCGCAGTTCCGAGGCGGCTGAAATACACGCGAAAATGGTTCTTCCAAATTTCTCATACGAATAGATTTTTTGCGAAATTCAGTCTGGCCACTTTGGTCACTATCATCACTGAAAAATGGCATATGTGCCGTACTAATGGCGGCCTTCTGTATACTGATGAAGGAAGAAGTTGAAGATGCTCCTAAGCTGATAGTTCGAGGCCTATATACAAGTGAGACGTTAGCACGATGTGAAACAGGAATTGAATGCAAGAGCTGCGTAAGCGTTCATTCCTAACTTGGGTTCAGACAATCTGTTAGTAGCACACAATCGGTTTCAAAGCTCCTTGATGTATAGAAATGTATTAAGGCGTCTGTGTTGGATGGCGGTCCGTTGTAACTGGTTGCATTTTTTTTCGCATTCGACACTGAAAGAAATTGAGAACGAGCTTACAGTTGAGCGCGCATTCTCGTCTGACTTTCACTTGCGAAAGTGACGGAGCCTGATACAATACCGCAAACTAGAGGCTCATTGCCGCCATTAGTACGGTAAAAGTTAAACTGCCATTTGACCCACGAGATGGACTTAACCTGGGAAAGGTTTATCGTGCGCCTCTTAAGAGCTAAGGAAACGCCAGGCGGCGTATCCGTGCATACTATGATCCCTCCGCAGCCAATGAAATTGCGACATTAACCGTTAAGAAGGCCGGTGTACCAATCAGGAGGCAAGGAGACATGATAAGCCACGCCTTCCGTTTCTTTAGCCACCATTGGCTCTGAACTAAACTTGTACGTAGTTCAACTACTCTACTCAAATTACGGTAGTTTAACTACTTTTCTAAGTTGTTTAGTAACTTTCGATTACATTTTTATTATTTATTAGTAACTTTCGATTACAAATTAGTAGTTTACTTTAATTCTTTTTTCTGAGGTACTTCTACTCAAATTACAAATTACTTTTGAATTTTAGTGGTAGGTTTGTTGGTCAACCAACGTTCCTGCACAAAAATAGAAAAGATGTTGGAAGATCAGCTGATATCTGCAAAGAGGTAAAGCATGTGGCGTAGGCAAGGGGGGGGGGGGGTAGTGGTTTCGAGGGTCCGAAACCCTCTAAAATGTTTACAAGCACCCCACTTCAACAACCCTGCTACGAGGCGTGGGGAGCGGACAGACACGTCGCAAGTAAGGCCCAGTAAATTCGGGATTCGCGCCGAAGACCGTCATTTCTTCCTGTCCCGAAGCTCAAGGAGACTAGATGTATTTAAAGAAAGGGTTTGTCTCCGCTTCTCCCCAACGTAGGAGCTCTCGCCCTCTGCAGGGGGCGTACACACTGCACCCTCACTCAAAGGAGTCAACAAAATGCAGCACCCGCTCTGAAGCCCATCCGCTCCTCCCGTAGTTTGTGCTGTACTTGAAGGTTCGCGTACTAAAGGGCAACGCCAAGTTGACCTCTTTGCGTTGCCTTTGCTCCCAAAACTCAGCATATGCAGGTGTTCCGAGATTTGAAAATCGTTCAAAAAGCTTAATAATTCCCCCAACGTTTTTTTGCAAAAAAAAAAAAAAAAAAAGATATAAATAAATAAAAAAGAAGCTGAATTGGGAAGTACTTTAAGGACACGGTACTTAAAGTACTATTTCAAGTAAGATCACAAAGCTTGTATTTTACTTGAAGTACATTCTCTGAGCATATACGTGTACTTTACTAAAGCATTTTTCTATAAATTTCTAAAGAAAGTAAAATTCCCGACTTCAGAGTACATTCCCCAAATTTGGGAACAAAAAATGACGTGTCGTCATGGGAAAACGCGCTATCGTCTTTCGAGACGTCGTCTGGTCATTTCTCTGAGTGAAGTAATGGCGGCTATAGGACCGATACAAATATGCGCCTTATAAGCGTATTGTGTTAAATAGTTCATCAGCGAGAGTAAAACAACGACTCTGTGGTGACTTGACTTTATCCAATATTTGCCGCCATTTCCAAAAAAAAAACTGATGCTCCTTCGATTACCCATGAGCAATGCATACCAGTTAAGATAAATTAAAAAAAAAGGGTATGAAAGGGGGCGTCGTGAAAGATTGTGTTAAACATATCTGTACTTTACGTTAAAAATATGTTGCCTTTATAGTACTTTACGTACATTTCACCCGGTCTACTTACAATACCTGAGGTTCATAACCTGTAACTGACTTTGTACTTTACTTCAAATACTTTTTATATGTGCTTTACGCAACAGTGTAAACAAGAAAAAAATTGAATCTCAGGCAATGGTAAACCTCAAAGTAGAAATGATACATCCGCAGTAATTCATTGATCGGAAAACAAAAAGTAGAAAACAATTAATCACGCAAAAGCAGAACCAGCTATTAAATCATTTATGTGAAAACACAAGCCGCTTTATATTTGTCTAGCAGAATTTCGCTAACGAATCAAAACATTTGTGTACTTTTTTGTTGCTATAGAAATATAAAAGTATCTTCAAAGGTAATTCGCTACTTTTTTACGGTAGTTAGTAATTTACTGAATTACTTTCCATTTTAGTCAATTCTTCTCTACTCAAATTGCTCTTGAGGCCAATACTCAGTAACTTAACTTAATTACTTTTTTTTAGCAACTTGTACATGTCTGCCCTCAACGCGCCGTTCGCAGACGCGGACCTTCGCGCCGTCAGCTGCGTCCCGCCAAAGCGCCCCACCGCTCTGGGACGCTTCTCGGCGCTGCTGGCGAAGCGACGCCTGTACTTCAGCCGCGTTTGGACGGTGCCCGTGGTCTGCTGGGTCGTTCCCACCCTCGTGTTCCTCGGCCAGCTCAAGCTGGAGCACGACCTGGTCAGCAAGAGGAACTCCGTCGCCGCCATGTTCAACTTCGTGCCTCCGATCGGAAGCAGGCAGCGTCTGAAGGTCGACACGCGGCTCCTCTACCCGGAGGGCAACGTGTTCCTCGATCACGACAACTTCTCGTCCGAGTTCGTGAGCCGACACTTCGGGGGACTTGCCGACGAAAGCGTTCCCAGACTGGTGACCCTAAGCTCGGCCCAAGACGAGCTCGTCTCGATAGGCAGCAGGAACTTTCTCGAGTACACGGGGGCCTACACGTTCGGCTGCGTCTTCTGGGGAGACCCGTGAGCATTGGCTTCCCTAATTTATTAACCCAGAAACCCAGAAATGACTTGTACTGTCATAACTGGTATGTATGACGTCTGGTACAATGTTTTGAGGGAGGTCCTTTTTCAAAAACGCTATTGGCAATAAATCGTTTTTATCAAAATGCTATTTGTTTTGTGGTCAAGACACGCTTGACCGATACTTGATTTTGGTTTGACACGGCACTTGTATGGGAGTTTTCCTATGTATTCGATTGTCGCTGTTCTAAACCTATCTGCGAAACTTGAAGTTTTCGAAACTGTTTATGCGTTTGAAGGCTGGCGTTAAAAATCGGAAAATTCTACACGTTTATACGGTATTCATTTGATCTTCAACGGACTTCGGAACAAAACAGTCTTGCTAGAATTGACGATCAGAACCGCTTAGAGGAATTTCCACCAGACATGTTCTAACATGATTTGCTTTTATAAATTTCTGTCCTGTTCTTTTTTGTAGAGACGACGATTATGAATCGCTGGTGTAAGTACACACTATATTACTCTCTCACGTTTGTGCCATAGTATGTAATACAGTCCATGCGCGAAAGTTTTATGTTGACGACTTATTCACTAGCACGAGTCTTGAGATACACCGTGACGAGTGATCGCATTCTACCTATGATAAGCTCTATACAATACTGCCGAAGTGTCTGGTGTTTTGAAAATTAATTGGCATTAAATAATACAGATTATCCTTAAGCGAGGGCTTTTAATACACGTTATAAGTTGATTTTATATTCGACGTATTACATGCGTCTTCAACGTTTTTCTGAGTTCATTTAGTATATAAATTTTTTAACCAGGAAAATAAAAACCAACAATCCGTCTAGAAATAAACTGATTGCCTTAAGTCGAAGGCTTGTGTCTGCTTTATCGTTTATATAATTTTGCTGTGTTACAGGCTAGAAGCATTGTGGAATCCTTATGCCACACTGAGCAGCGTCATAGCTCTCAACGCGTTGAACTCGGCTGTGCTGCGCTACCTTTCCGATGATGCGGGAGCCAAATTCCAAATGAACATTCAGCTTGATAAAGAAGAGGTAGGTGTTGCTCCACTCGATAGATGGATTAGCCTAACACGTGTACATGTACGAGATGGGATCAAAAAGTTCCGGGACTGATTTCCTAGCGTAAAAGGAGAGGGCAGAACAGTGATGCGCGCGCAGCAGGCGAAGGAACGAACCTTCGTGTCTCGTTATACCAAGGGACGTCACTCTGTGAACATTTGGAACTGGGGTACGCTAGTTTGTTTGACCACATGCACGAGCATAACGGCAATCTCTCCATAGACTGCATCCCAAAGGGAGAGCAAACATAAATTTTACATCAAACTCGACAAATCTAAAACAAAGACCTCTGAAATTATGTACAAGGCTTTTGTCAAAAAGCAGTGAGATTTAAGTGGCACTCGGGCCTCAAGAATTGTAGAACGTCACTGAAGTCAAGGAGAGTTCGGATAAGGTCGCCCTACCGCTCTTCGTCTTTCAGCGATGTTCTGCCGTTTCAGAAGCGCGAGTGCCACTTAAAACACTTCGCGAAATTCACTGTGTTTTGACGCAGGCCTGCTGTATCATTTGAAAGGACTCTGTTTTATATTTGCAGCGTTTGACACAAGATTAATGTTTGATTTCGCTCTGGTTTGCAGTCTACGGTGAAATCGCCATTGTGCGCGTGCACGTGGTCACACAAGCTTGTGCAGCGCAGCTCTAAATGTTCACAAAGCGATGCCCTTTGGTCTTACGAGACACGAAGGGCCCTTCCTTCGATTGCTGCACGCGCAGCACTGTGCTTTCCTCTCCTTTTATGCTACAAAATCAGTCCCAGAACATTTCGATCACACCTCGTAAATGCATGCAAGAGAAAATCAGTAACAGGTTTACAAACTTTAGTTCTCTTCCATTTTCTCTTATTACATCAAACAACTGTAAGAAGTAAGATATTCTAAAGCGTTTCCCACAACATCCAGGCGTTTAACTAAGGAGAGCTAAGAGACTGATGTTTGCTACAACACTCAGAAAGATATTAAAAATTGAAGTTTCGAATATGCTCATGTCGTTACAAAGGATAATAGAACAATATTAAGTAAATAATCAATAGTCTTTCCAGATAGCTCGAGAACCAAATGCCTCTGCGTTACCGGAAATGTCAGTAGCCTAATTCTAGTAGAGTTTAGGGAGAGAAGCTTTTTTTTAGTATCAGCATTTATCGTAGTTACGAAACCTGTTGCACTCTATCTTCGTCTACGCAGAACATAAAAAAAAAAGAAGTATGAATTGAAAAAATGGTTCAGTGTGAAAAAACGTTGATAAGGGCGGCGAGTACTAGCTGACTAACTAACATTTACACTTACAGCAGAAACATACGTGCGTGGTTTCCTCTTTTGCAAAACGCGCTGCCTAATTTGTTTTTTGTTTTTTCCGTAACTTTGTTTACCTTAATTTATGTCAGACGGAGCGCTCAAACTCGCTAACTTGTACTTCGTTGGATGATACTCCTGTTCCCAAACTCACGTACCTTAACAAGCTTAAGTGAAAACTGCTCGCGAGCCGACGGACGGCCGGAGGCCGAGGTGACAGTTAAAGTAAGAACAAGCGACAGCTTACAACATCTATGCAAATAAACTTGCACATCTGTTCTTGTTCTTTGATTCTTTTGTTCGGTTTTTCCGCTCAGCAGTACAAGTAGGATGGACGGTGCCTCGGTCTTTTTGCTTCTCCTTTTACTGTACATCATGCTTTACTTGCAGGTTCAGATTCAGACTTAACTGCACCATCAGAGTTTATGCTGAGCATACACTGCACCGGATTCAAGGGCGTTCATCTGTCCTCCAATTAACATTCTCAATTACGGTTTATTATCGCATTGGTCCAAGTTAAACTAAAAAGCTATTTCGGTATCTTACTTCAATGGCAAAACAGCTGGGCAGAAAAGGCTGAGGTTGTTTTTTCGCCGCTGAGATTGTATGCACATTAGGGTGCGATATCATTCGTCCTTCGCATTGATCGAACCGATTAAAAGAAGACTAATGGATGGTCTTGAGAAGTGCATCACGACTATGGAGGGCCTAAAACCGTTTATAATGAAAGTTTTGCCAATGGGTGGACCTTGTGGCCCACTAGAACGAGCCCGATCTCGCGATAACGGAAAATGGTGCCGCGTTGCCTTATCCAGAGATGGTCGTGGTTGGTTTACGTAAAGAACACAAGATGGGCGCCGGGAACACACCATCACTCGGTTGCCAGACTGCCAGCTGTGGTTGCTTGACTAACACGCGACTTCAAAAGGCTGCCTCCTGTAGTCACTGACATCTTAAGAAACGCATATTATGTTCACGGTTCTTCTTTCGTTTATCGTGCATTCTTATCGCTCGAGACCGCAATCTAGGTGGCTGATAATAAGATGATCGAGACTCGCCACGCTTTTTTAACTTGGCAATGAGTACTGTACAAACGAATAGAGAAGTGCCCAAAGGAAACCCACTATTCGTGCAGTTTCTTTGCGCACACCATATTCACGCGAACACTAAAGGCTGGTAAACACACTGGCGTAGGACTACGACCGACTGCGCTACAACCGGTTTTTAACCTTAAGGCCCTCCGGTCGCAAGTTAAACGGCGCACCCCTGTTGTCCAGAACTCGGCGGTGGGCTCTGGCTTGGACTTCAGCAAGGCCGCGTGGCGCGACATGCTCGAGGTGGCCCTGCTCATGTTCAGCCGGGCCGTGTTCGTACCGCTGGGCACGGCGTTCGTGGTGGCCGCCTCGGTCCTCTTTCCGGTCGCCGAGAGCGCCAGCGGCGTCCGGGCGCTCCAGCTGATGACCGGCGTCTCGGCGCTCCTCTTCTGGGCGTCCCACTTCCTCTTCGACCTGCTCGTCTACTTGCTGGCGTGGAGCGCAGCCGCCTTGTCCCTGAACCTCCACTACGAGCTCAGCATGGAGACCAATGGTAGCTTCGGGCCTTTGAACTCCGGGGGCGCATTCCAACGCGTCCTATAGTCACTGCCGCCTCGGCGGCTCCGAGGCAGAGCCTACGGATTCCCAGGTGGCGGGTTCGAATCCCGGCTGTGGTGCACGCAGAGTGACACGGAGAAGGCGCTGTATAAGATTTCGGTTGCACGTAAAGAGATGCTGAACCGAAATTTGGATTTCATAAAATAAGGCCTCAGAACCGTTCAACGGGACGCTACAAACTCCAAAACATCACTCATACATCGATATGGAAAACGGATGGTCGTATTTTTGGAAAAGAAAGGCGCGATCAAGCGAGGGATGGGACTTTACGATCCTCCTGGAACAGCTGAGAATGAAGGCCTCGCTTCTCTCTTTCTCGCCTCGGTTCACCTGCTCGAGAGGACGAAGCGAAGAGGAGAGGGAATGGGAATCGTGACGTGAGTTGTCTCGTTGGCCCTGTTCAATTGTGCGCCTATTTTACGAAAATACGGCCATCCGTTTGAGATATCGCTGTATGAGTCATGTTTGGGGGTTTTGCAGCGTTCCGCCTATCGCTCCACTCTTGTTTTCCGACCTCCAAATTTCGGTTCAGCTTGCCTTTAAAGGGATAATTCAACGAAGTTTGAAATATTCCCGTCGTGTTGAACTGCATACCAGGGTGCTAATAATTTGTGTCTCTCTTATACCGAGTCGCTCCAGAACGGCGTGAGGTGCAATTGTTATGCGGAATCGAAAATAAAAACTGCTTTGTTTTAACGAAGGTTGCGGGTGTTTGACACCCAAAATGTTTCAATGGTTTGGATTGCTTATTATGTATGTTGAACTTTATGTTTTGTGTTATTGGTAGTTTGCTATTCATTTTTATGTTGTGTTCTCCACCCCTGAATAGGCCTCATAGACAGAGGTGATGAATAAACTATATTTTAAATTAAATTGAAGTTAACTTTTTTTTGTGTATTCAACGTTTTTAAAGGAAGAAAAATGAATGTGATACATGTTAGCGCGAAAACATTATACTCGCTACAAATATTCGTGCAAAGACTTGCGCGCTTCATCTATGGGGATAAAAACTACTGCGAATATTACACTAACTAAGAAAATCTAAATTAGCATTCCTTCCTAAAATGTCCTCTAATCCCGTGACTTTTTTTTTTTTTTCATTTCTGCTTCAGTCGAACATTACGAAACCAACTTACTATCCGTGAAAGCACGAAACTTATACAACTGCACCTGTCTCTGCGCTCAGCGAAAAAGCATCTCAAAAGCAAACATCAATGTTTACAGTACACGGTAACAAATACGACTTCTAAAGTAGCTTCTCTTTTCAGCTGCACTTCTCATACTGGTACTTGTATTCTCGCTCGTCGGCATATCAACGTCATATGCTGTGGCGTCATTCGCCAAGAGTGCAGCGGGCGCCTTCACGTTCGTGGTCCTCTTCTTCTTTTTCGGAGGCAAGTACTCTCGCCCAGCTGCTTCCTTTGACGCACGGTGAAATTCACTCATTTCCTCGAAGTGACTATTTGACGTATTACAGCTGTAGCTCACTCACTACAACTTATTTTCTGTCTCTGGCACGGACGCAACAGAACACACACATTAAAAGAGACTGAATTTTACGGTAACTAGGAAGATTCCTGTTGACGCAACATTTTTAAGCCAAACTTTTACATTAGAAAAATGCAGCCATTATAAAACACCATGCATACAATTTGAACAAGCAACGGTGTAAAAACGAGGGAATAAGTCTTTTAAAGAAACTCTGGAACCCTTCTCCTCACCTGCTTAAGCTTGGCACTCGCATTTAACTAGTTCGTGAGGGATCTGAGTTGTTACACCGAGAATGTGAAATGCCGGTCTAGATGCACAACAATTATCTCAATTTTCGGCTCAATTACTTTCGGAAATTATTCATTCGTCTGATCTTTTTTTCTCGGATTGCTAGGGTTGTTACACCGCATGCTCTGATTCTGGGGTTAAGCAAACCTAATGTGATTTTTCACGGTGTAGGCCGGTCGTTGTCCATATAGATAGCAATCTGGCCCTCAGTAAACTGTGGATTCCGATCGCCTTTGAAATAAATGCGTCCCACACTTCATCAGGCTGCTCCTTAGACAAATAGTTCAAAGAGAACCTAGAATTAAGAAAGAGAGTAACTGAAACAGGGAAGAGAGAGTTCGCAATTCAATGGCGGACGGAGCAACACCGTGGGATGAATCCGGGGCTCCTGATTGGTTTTTCTTGAGGCACGTCACAAATGCGCGGCCCGCCGGCAGCTATAGACACGGTGCCGACGGTGACTTCTTTTCTAACACACGTCCCCCTGGTATACACAGTAGAGAGAGGAAGGAAGGGGGGGCTCGAGTTTTGGGTAAATACGCCCCAGTGTTTCACGCGTACACGGATGCCGCCTCGAGATGGAGATACCGCCTCGAGAGATTTGCTTGCTGGCTTACGGCCCCCATCGGAACCGACCCTTCGTGTTGTGCTTCACCCCACGCACGCGGATTATTGTCACGCGGCCGATGCCTTTAGAGCTCCACGCCGCGGTGGGTGTGTATGGGGATTGTATTCGCTGGCCAAAGCTACCGGTGGTAACCGCCAAAATATCGTCCACCGCCATCTTGTCGGCCGCCTTCGTTCTCGGCAGTCGTCACATGGGACGTCGCTGCTGTCAGCGTTCCTGCGTTCACTGTCACGAGCCGTCTTCTCTATCTCAAACACCAAACAGCGAACGCGAAAGGCTCATTGGTGTCTCCTGCTCGCCAAAGTGCGCGTTCGCGAGCGTGCGTGGCCTTCTAGGGAGGAGGACACCTGGTGGAAACGCTGAAGAAAGCTCGGAAACTCTCGCGGACGATCGACGCTTTCGCCTGGACCTCGCTGCTTCGATCGCAGACGCGGCCCATGCACACATGCCCCTGATGAAACGGTTGGAAACGCTCTCAAATGTAAGCGCACTAAAGCTGCGGCCGCACTGCTGATACACCGTACCAAAGACAGGCTGCATTCAATATGAGGCGTGCCTCATTCATGTATGACTGCTCTGTCACATTGGTCAGACAAAACCCTCCGCAGACCTGTTCGAAGCATAGATAAGAATAATGCAAAGATGCTTTAAATATGCTCTAGGCGCATTGTCATTGTGTCTGCAGAGGACCTTGTCATTTTGTACGATGTGGGAGCAGTGTGGGTTAATGCTGGCTCGCTTCCAGGTGCGACTCCCCTCTTCGTGTTTATGGTCCTGATGATGCTGCGAGTCTCCGAGGGCCTGCCGTCACCACGCTGGATTCCGCTGGCCCTTCTGCCGCTGCCGCCGTTCACGTTCCCCTGGAGCGTCATCAAGGTTCTCCAGCTCGACTCCGAGAACAGCCACTGCCTGCGGTACAGCACCACCAAGGTCGGCGACCTCTACGTGCTGGACATGTTCTGCGTCGCACTCCAAAACGGCCACCGATTTCCCGGCGGAATCCACTACTGCTGCGAACGTGAGCTCGACTAAAGTTACTTACAGACTCGCGAACTGTCGATATTCTCAAACTATACGATAGGTGACGCTGTCGTTCACTTGGAAGCTTTCGCTAGGTGGCACAAAGTCACCGACTGATTAAAGAGGCTCACCGTGTCCATTCATCCATCCAGTGTCCTTGTCATATTAAACTTTTCTTTAAGTATGAAGTGTTTTTAATGTTACTTGCCAATCCCAAAATTTTGTCCATTGGTGCATTTTGCGCTAAATTTATCGGGGAAAATGGTGTGACGGGATCTATACGTCAACTCAGTTTACCCGCTAAATGTAGACGGAAAATTCTCGTCCTGTGGCCAAAACATCAATTCAGTTTTCTCTGTATATTTAGCGGCGGAAATCAACGTCACGTGACCTCACGTCACGTGAGCCCCACAACCCCGCAGTTTCCTCGCTAAATTTGGCGGAAATATATGTCACGTGACATACCAATCACTTCATAACTTTCCTTGCTATTTCTCTACAATGCATACATTATAAGGATTCAAAAATAACGGTCACTCATACTTTCTTTTAAAACAGTCATTACTGGATTAAGTCTGCCAATAAAACAACCAAGGTGCTATCGAAATTAAAACAAACGTCACTGCATGCAATCTTTATTTAAAGCTATATGCAGCTACAAATGAGCCAGGGTCACGAATCGTCAAGTACCGAAGGAATTTAGCGCTCAAAAGCACTAACATTTCATAAAGCTAGAAATACCACAGTCTAAAAAACAAATCTGGTCGTAAAAGAACTCTTAGCGGTTCTTTGGCTTGTCCATATTTTGCATCCTAAAAAGCGTTTTTGAGCGCCCCCTAAAAGGGTTCTTCGCGACAAACCTATGAGGTCTTCTTTTAAGCTCTTTTTTATACGAAAGAGTTTTTCATCACCCAGATGCCTTTCTAATACGTCAGGGGAAAATAGTGCTTGAGGCGATTTCGTACTTCACAAACTGAGAGTGTTTTTGGGGCGTCGAAGAACCTTTCATAAATGGACTTTTTGAGTGCAGAGACATGGAAAGTAAACTGGTTAACTTTCAACATTTTGAAAACCCGAGACTGGGAACCAAGACAATGGACAGCATACAGAAAGGATGTCCATTTTCTCTGTTCGTTTGTTTCAAGTTTTTAATGAGTTCAGTAGTTCTAGGTGCTTAGGCGCGCCTGTAGATTAATTCTTCTACGTCTTGAAGGGGAATGTCTTTCCTCTTCTGTTCCTTAGGTTACGCATCCAACTCAACCGTTGGTGTGGATACGTTGAGTCCTTTAAGTTTTCACGAAGCGGGAGTGGCCCTGGAAATTCTGGTCATGGCCGCCGAAGGAGTCCTTCTCTTCGCGTTTATCGTCTGGAAGGACTCGGGCCCGCGAAACGTCTTCCCGTCTTCCAGAAGCAAGAAAACGAATTCTAATGGACACCTTGACGCGGACGTTCAGAGGGAGAAGGATCTAGTCCAAGATATGCGTGTCCAAAGCCAAGCACTGGTTCACACGATGGTGGTGGATGACTTGCACAAGGTGTACGGCTCCTTGCACGCCGTTCAGGGTCTCAACTTGGCTGTCAGATCGGGAGAATGCGTGGGCTTGCTTGGCGTCAATGGTGCCGGAAAAACGACCACGTTCCAAATGTTGGCCGGACTGTTGCCGGCAACCAGCGGGGACGCCTTTAGGAACGACGTTGTGCTCTCCAAGCAGCCAAGAAAGGTACAAATCCCGCTTTGCGTATGAGAGTTTGTGATAGCGTGCTAGATTTTACTCGGTTACCTTCCGTTTATTTATTAACGATCCCACGGGTTTACTCTTCAGCCCACTGCGAATGTAATTGAAGCTGAATTGAGGAGCACGAAAAGGGAAACTTCGGAAGTCTCGAACTCGCAGCCGGCGATTTGCTAAGTGACAGCTTCTTTGTGAGCTAGAAGAAGCTACTTCTCTGATCTAACTTAGCTCTCTGAAGTTTCGGAGAAAAGTTTAAATATAACTGGATTGAAACTCGTGGTATACAACCAGCATGTTTACAGCCTAGTTCGCGTCCCGTTTTTCCTAAACCCAACAACTTAATATATTACTCTTTATTGAATACTGGTTTACTCTTATAGGATGTTGGTTTTCCGAATAATGTCTCTTTGTATACCTACAATTGAACTTTTGAAAACGCCTTGCAGTGGCAGTCCAACATCGGCTACTGCCCGCAGTCTGAGGGTCTCCTGGCAAAGCTGACTGCGTTCGAGTTCCTTCGCCTGTTCGCCTGTCTGCGCGGTGTACCGGGCTCCGACGTTGAGCTCCTTGTGGCGAGCATAATCAATGTGGTCAAGCTTGCTGCACACGCGCACAAACGATGCGAGACCTATAGGTGGGTCGACCTTCTGATCGTCCGTTTGCAGAAATTCGTCAATGCCTCGTCATAATGGCCAGTTTCACCACGTATTTTTGCCAGTTTGTTATTCGCGATTTTAAGATCCGCTGCTGCTTAGCGTTTATTGCGTGTGGCAGTTCGCATAAAATGCAAGATGCTTTTGTGACTATTGCTCAGACGTTATTTTCACTAATATCATTCTCCGCGCCGTTGGGATACAATTACGCTAAGCAAAAACACCGCAGAACGTTTATCTGGCCGATTACAGAGGGCGCGTGGAGCGAATGAGGAGGGCCAAAACGTAGGCTCTTAGAAAATGAGATCTGAGTGTATGAGCATGCGAAATGACACGATAACTGTCCCGGCGCAGTTCCTATATCCAAAACAAACAAACTTTTTGTTCGAATAATTCGATGGACGTGTTTCGTAAATCACGCTAATTGGACTACCAATTACTTGCGCCACTGTTCTGTTCGTGTAAACGCAGTCTGTGTAGCGCTCTGTACAGTCTAAAAATGCCCGTGAGTATTCACTGCTCTGAGAGGGTCAGTCGCCGAGATCTACGGACTAGAGAGCGCGCGAGAATCGCATGGGCGAACTAACACCTCAAAAGAGAGCACTCATTGTGTCGTTTCGCCTGTGCAACGGCGTGCTCAGTTTAAGATCGTAGACTTCATTAAGGCGAAAGCCTTACTTGGCCCACTTTCGGGAAAGGCCGGCGGCGTTATGCCCCAAGATAAAAAAAAACGCCATCAAGAGTGTCATTGAAATAAAACACAAAGAAAAGCACAGCAACGCAAATGCTTCGTCATGGAAGCCGTGGACCCGGCAAAGGCGCCGCTCCTGTGCAGTGGGGGAGCGTCATGTCACCGTCGGACGACAGCTCAAGCAAAAGGAAGACACACACACACACGAATACAAAACCGGCAGAAACAACTTTAATACCTGTAGACACATTACTCAAAGACATTTCACCCACGGGACTATAATGCTTTTGCATTCCTACACGTAAGCAGTCTTAGGTGTTTTCTAAGAATTTTTTTTTTTTTTTTTGTGGATTTCCATTCTTTGTGATTGGTTCATCACATGCAATGCGGAGGGGCAGAGCAGCTAGAAATTTTCTAGAGCGTATATGTTTTCTCACTATCGTAGCGTAGCAAAAGGTGTGCTCCAAAAGGTATGTGGATCGCAGAAAGGTTGTCGACTATTGTCTTCGATGCTTCCAGCGGAGGCAACAGGCGGAAACTGTCCATTGCCGCGGCGCTTTTGGGGCTCCCAGGCCTGGTGTTTCTCGACGAGCCGACGGCGGGAATCGACGTCGTCGCCAGGAAAGACATCTTCCGGGCCCTGGAGAGAATCAAACGCGCTTCGGGGGTCTCCATTGTCCTCACGTCGCACAGGTACGCTGTGGACAACTAGCGTGCCGTGTTTTCCTTAACAACCCGATAAACCTAGGAAATTAACAGTCTAGCCAGTTTTATCAAAATCGGAAAAAACCGAAAAAGTAACCGATTCCAAACTGTACTTAATTAAAAATAAAAAATAAAAAAGCTTTGTGGGAAGAAAGCATTGTTTTATGTTGTCCCTGTATGCAATCGCCACCGAACTGTCCGCGAGGCAGCTGCTTTCTTCAGAACCGCACACTTGTATCGTTTCCTACTATTATTCTAATATTGATAGGGACGTTTTCAAATTATTTGGAGAACGCGTATGTTCCCTCAAGGTTGAAAAATCCCATGTCCGTGCCTATTTTTTTTTTCTTTTTTTTTTTTTTTACAGCTGAAGTTTAGATTAATTTTCATGTTTCGTCCTAAACGAAAAATTCTAGCCAAAAACACCGAGGATGAGGGAAAAAACACAAAACAGTCTCAAATTTGCAGAAAATAAACCCGCGAAACATGGAATTCAAAGCATAACGAGAGGTTGATATGTTTCTTTTTTTATTTGTAGGAGGCAGTTAGCATTCCACGAAAGGAGTAGATAAGCTAATATGAGGAGAATAAAGCACCGAGGAAGTATTTCACACCTTCGTGGTGTTCACGTTTTTTCTTGCGACTCACATTTTCACATGTTTAGCGCTCTCACTTATATACAGGGTGTTATTTTTTATTCGAAACAGATTTATTTTAAAAAATCCGTAAAAGATGGAATGATACGGTTTGTGCAGGTGAGTTATACGGCCAAGGGGACATGTTGTAGGGGGCTAATCGTAACGATCAGTTGGCTAATTAATTAAAATTCGTTCATTAACTTTTTAATTAATGAAAATAGACATATGGTTCCAATTAGAAACTTGCACAGCGTCACCGAAAACCACTAAATCAGTCCTTTTCAGAAAGACTTTGAGCGCGTGAGAAGCGTAGTAGTGCACTAAAGTTACCGCTCTTTGAGCAGGTACAAGGCTGGGGCTAGATAAGAGACGGAAAAATCGCGCGGGCGCCTTACCGCAACCGCGAGCTTTGTACCTGCTCAAAGAGCGGTAACTTTAGTGCACTACTACGCTTCTCACGCGCTCAAAGTCTTTCTGAAAATGACTGATTTAGTGGTTCTAGGGGAAAAATTTCTCCGCTAAATCTAGTGGAAAAATTTCTCCGCTAAATCTATCGGGAAAAATGCCCCGCTAAATCTAGCGGAAAAATTAACCCGCTAAATCTAGCGGAAAAATTTCCCCGCTAGATTTAGCGGAAAAAATTCCCCGCTAAGTCTAGCGGAAAAATTTTCCTGTTAAACCTAGCGGAAAAATTTTTCTGGGGGGTCACGTGACCCCCCAAGGTCACGTGACCCCCACCCCCCGCCCCGAGAACAGGTAACCCTCAGTACCCTTCCCTCCTCCTCCTCAAGAGCTGCGCTCCAATTCGGTGTTACAGGGAGTTGTAAACGGCTTTCATTTTTTTTAAATAAATCTGTTTCGAATAAAAAATAACACCCTGTATAATAGTCCATTTTTAAATACATCGTATATCTTTGTTTGTGCCGGCATTTTACACGTCTCTGGATTAACAGATTTTGTAACAGTTCGCTGCTATAGTGATTTGTTAAATTTAGAACTTAGTAACAGGAGCATAACTTTGACATGATTCCCGAGCCAGTTTTGGGGTGAAACCAAAAGGCGAGAAGGACGCAAGTCAGAGGTTGGAGGAATGTCTAAACAATGTGAGAGAAACTCTTGCTCTCCAATCAAGGCGCACATTTTTTTGTTTCCCCGTCGCGTAGCCTGGACTCGGCGGAAAGGAATGGGGCGGTGACAAAAATCACCAAAAAGAACAGTCAGGTAAACAGTTAAAAATAGCACGACGCGCTCTCGGAATGTTTTATGGTCGATTATAAATTACCTTAATATTGTGTTTCAACTCGTTAAACAATGTTATATAATGATGTAATCGACATAATTTTCTTTTCACTGAGCCATAGCCATCTGCTTGCGTATACGATAGTGGTGAGCGATCACCACATTTTCTGCGCCGAAATGGACTTTTGGTAAATTCAGCGGTAATTCGCTGTTAAAGGGTGCGTTGTTATTTTTATCTAACAAAAATAATGTTTGTTCGTCTCGATGTAAGTGTTTTTTTGTTGTTGTTTCTTTTTTTGTCTGGGAGGTTACACAAATGATTGATTTAATCATCAAGCAGAGTCGGACTTTGTATCATTGAAAGATTGTGGTTGCAAGTTAGGTATCATAGAAACAGCAAATGATAATTATTGCACGCTTCGTTTTATCAAAGTTCTTCATGATTTTGGTAAAGCGCTTTTCCCTAGTTTGAGAAAATGAAATAAGAATTTCTTTCTCTCTCTCTCCTCTTTCTTTTTTTTTTTTTTTTCTAGTATGGCTGAATGTGAACTAGCCTGCGACCGCATCGGAATCATGGTGACGGGGCAGTTTCGGTGCTTGGGGACGCTGCCCCATCTCAAGTCCAGGTTCGGCCAGGGCTACGTCATGAGCGTCAAAGTGGCGGCGGGTGGTGACGTCGACTTCAAGATGGTTCGGGAAGCTGTTCAGAAGGTTTTCCCGAGAACGCAGCTCCGGCATTTTCACGGGGTGAGAACAAAATCACTACCACAGGGTGTCCCAAAAAACTATTACACTTTTTAATCGCATACATGAGCTATGCATCGACTAACACTCAGTTTCCACCCAAGTGTAGCACTAGCGGTTCGCTCCCTCCGAACCAGATGCCAAAGTTTCAGAACGAACTCTTATCTTATTCAATAGCTATAATCAAAGACATACTTCTGAATGGCGCAGAATACAAAGAACGGGCCCATTTTTCCCATTGAGAGTTTCAAAAAATCACCTATAACTTTTGATTACGTGATAACAGTTAGTTCTGGAACCTTGGCGTCTGATCCGGATCGCAACATTTTGACAAAGACTGAGAGTTCGGCGATGCATACTTTGTTCTGCGGTGAAAGGAACACAAATTGTTATTTGGAACACGGTGTACTTTGTTTTAAGTCTGGACGGAAGCAAACTGTCATAGGAGCTGATGGGACCACAGCGTCAAACGCGCTTACATACTGTTGGTCATGTTTGAGCACGTGTTCTATCACGCTGAACGAATCATGTACAAGCAACATACAGTGACTCGCACTTTTTACGCTTGAAAAGAAACGAAGTGTTGATCCTGTCCTCCTGTTGCGAGTTCACGCTGCAAACCAATTCCTACGCGCTTGCTTTCCCGCAGAATATACAAAAAAATATCAATCGCTACAATCTTTAATAGAACATTCAAAATATTGAATTCTGTGCGCTGCCATTTTTGTCTTCTGGGCTGTGGGACAATTCCTGAGCATGAGCAGTAACTCTCATACCAGAATATCCGACGTCGTGGTTGCCTTCACAGAGCAGTAACTCGGCCTTTTTCGGAGGAAATAAACGCTGGAAAAGCGTACAGGCAATGCAGATGCACTTTCTCAAGAATATAGAGAGCTTGCCCCAGCAAAACTTCGCAACCTAAGACGAACGCCGCAGATTTCGCGTCATAATCTCGAAAAAGCTGGGCTTTTGCTTCGAGAGAGTCGTTGAGTTGTCGGTCTGTGAGAGGAAATCTACTAGCGTGATTTCGATAAAGAAAAAAATATTCGAGAGAAAAAAATGGCGTTATGAAGAACTGTTTACATCGCAAAACCCTAGGCGTTTAAGTAGCAAACAAAACAATATTAGATACAGATTTCGTCAGAAGAATGTAACGCCGAAATGCACATCTGAGAAACATTAGTCTTAAAACCGTACGCAGTTAAAAAAAATTTGTGGGACTTCAGGAGAAAAAAAAAAGAGCCATTGAGTACGACCGCGTATCGAGTAGAGGTTTATACGCGGGTATACCTAATTCTAGAGTCCAACGTGCTGCCGATTCACAGTATATTTTTGTTTTCAGGGTAGACTCGAATACCTCTTGGAAGCCAAGATCCCGTGGAGCGAAGTCTTTGGGAAGGTAGACGTGCTCCGGCAGTCACTGCAGCTCGAGCACGTGCTCATCTCAGACACGACGTTGGAACAAATTTTCATCGGATTCGCAGACGCTAATCAGGGCGATCTATCTTCTATCATACCCACAAACGCGCTAACGTAGCGAAATCGATAAATCTATATTCTCTACGTGATTCACAAGACTTATTACACATATATAGTAGATCATTCTAATAAACTCGTTTCACTCGAATATTTTTTTACTCTTTCACTGTGGGAAGCGTTGTACATCCAATATTGCTGTTTCAAAAGTTGTACTAAGGTTTCTGGATGAAATCACAGACCTGTTTCTTTGTCGTGCTTTGAAACGCTTGCTGGACCAATAGCACATAGGATACAAGGCCTGTGCCTTTTCCCCAAACGCCATCACCAGTGGATCTAGGCAGCGCCGCCTAGTCTGCGTTCGCGTCTCCGCCGACGCGTCTCGCAGCGTCTCACAACGAGAGTGACGTTATGACGCGGTGACGCGGTGACACCAAGACGGACGCGTCTGCCGTTTTCCGGCGTCTCTCGGTCAGCTTCAGCCTGTCTGCCGTTTGGAAAGGGTCGAGGGTCCACAAACGATGACGTCATCCGCAAACGAGCCTTGCCTTCTAGGTTGCATTGACGGACGGTGTCGAATAGGCGGCGATATCCGGCGAACTTTTCCCGGCGGCACATTCGCTTTGCGCTTGGCGCAACCTTGTTCTGACGCCACGCGCAGACCGACCACCGCCGGGCGAGATCCCTCTCTTTTTTTCGCTGCATGAATTCCAGCTTTCAGAGAACATCTCATGGAACATTTCAAGAGCCGACGTTTCCTCTCCTCTCCAAAAAAAAAAAAAAAAAAAACGCAGCGTGAAAGACGATCCAAACAGATGAGAAGGGAGCTTTGTGAGGAATCGCTTCGAGGAAAGAGACTGTCCTGGAAAGAATGGCGAAGAAATCCAAATATGTGGAAGAGATTAGGAAAAGTCTAAAAAGCGAAGTTTGGGTCAGATTTTCGCGACGAAGTTAGCGCGAACACGACGCCCGTCCTCCTTACCTTGTTGTTTACTAAGGCGGTGAGATAGAACGCCGAATTTTGCCTCCCAAGTTGCCCATGTAGACAACCACATTGATATTTTTGTGACTGCCTTTCAGTTTCACCTATTGAGACCACAAGCCAAAAAATCACGCATCGTGTCTTCGTGCTAACTGTATCGCGATGCGTTGCCCGCACGTAATCGAATAGTTTAAATCCTTTCGAATCGTATCACGCGCGTGCGTTTCAGCCTCTATTTATTTTATTTACTATAGGCTAGTTCCTTCATTCGGATCCACAAACCTATAAAGAATACATTGTGCGTAGCGGTACTACTGTCGAAATAATGGCGATACATCGCAGAATCTGGATGGTCACGCTTAAATACTGAATACGTTTAATAACCCATAGAGGTGCATGAGCAGATGCGCTTCAACACTTCTACACTGAGCCGAAATGCATTTAAAATTGCTTCCATTTATATCTCATAGACCCATACACACTGTCGTGTTTGACTCCGTCGCGTCGAGAAAGGGCCGCGAGTCCTCGGAACACTCGTGCTTCATTTCAAACGTGGAAACCAATTCCAAAAGTAGTTTGGCACGCGACATACGAAGTACGGATGTCCCGGTTCCTCGCCGTCAAACGCATCTGTGTGTCTGGCAGAGTTGTACATAACGCGTTGTAAGTAAGGCGTTACTTCTACCGGTAACGGAAGTAACGACTCGTTACTTTTGGGGGGAAGGAACGAGTAACCTGTTTTGGTTACTTTTTGATGGAGCAACGAGTAAGGATGTTTAGTTACTTCTCGAGGGGAATGTGTATTACGCAAGCTACTCCATTTGGTTCTCACTCTAAATCACGCCTGTAAATTTAACAGAAAAAAGCGCCAAAAAAATTAAATAAAGATGCCCGTGATTGCGTTAAAACGACACAAAGTGTTTAAAAGGGGCTACTGCTGCTAAACAAATATCACATTCATCGTAATGAAAAAGTAAATCGTTAATGTTGAGCTGAAATATTGCATTCTCTTTGAATCTCAGTAACGAGTGACGGTTACTTTCTGAGGCAGTAGCGAGTAGCAATATTAAGTTAAACTTAAATAACGTGTCTGGTGTCTGGGCCTTGAGGGACTTAGTCCGGTGGCACTACGTTCACCCCGGACAATGACCTAGCTGGACTCCAAACCGGGTCCGGCTCCAGCATTTCCGATTCTTTTCGAAGCGTGGGCCGACCGCGAAAGAACGTGTCGGCGATAACGCCGCCACCGGCCACGCCGTTAACGGAAGTCCTGCCGGCCTCGGGTCGACTTCGTCACGTCGTTAGCGCACAAAGACCATCGACCACCGGAGCTCCCGTCCACCGCACGGGGGCATAAAGAAAGCAGATGTTGTGCTGCAACTTATCTCTCTTCTCTCAGCGCGGTTACGACGCCAACGCACAAAATAATGTGGGCAGATCTGGACTCGGGAGAGCTCAGTGTCCTCGGAATACCTCGCTTGATTGCCGCTGGCTGTTCGCCTCCCGATTGGGTCACGCCGTCGTCGACTGTCCAGCTTATCGCTGTCCGGCTGCTCTCGCCTAGTTTTTCGCAACTACTTTCTTTCCTCGTTTTACGGCTTCACGCGTCGGAAAAGTAGAGTTTCACTCGGTCGTGTCTTGGAGGTAATCCCTGCTGGCTCGTAGGAACTGCTGCAGGAGGGACTTCGCAGTTCTCTTACAAGAAGTGTGGAGCAGGCAAATTCCGCTCAGCTATTTACGGCTCGCTTAAATACGCTGGCCGGTTTTGGCGGCCGCCTTCAGAATTTGAGACTGACAGTTGTGCAAGACCGCACTTTTCAGTATAAGCTTTTATCCACCCTTTCAAGCTGAACGCTGCTTCGGAGGATATTGAAACATTCCCCGTCATCGACGATTTGCAATGAGGCAAATACCCATATATGCTTGCGAATAACAAAATACACTACATAAATATAATAATATGTTTTATTTGGAAACATTGCATTTCTTTGCATAAATAAATAAGTAAATAAATATGTAACACGTAGAACAAATTCTTGGAAAGAGCACTTCACACTAAACGTAGTAAAACAAAACACGAAAGTCCTTATAACGCATACCTTTCGTGGCTTCTACACTGAAGTTGATGTTAGGGTTGCGTTGTACCGTACATTTGTGTGACAACTTGGGTCAGCTTTGTTTCACAGTGATCACCTTTGTTTTACAATGAGACCTACAGGGATTGAACGTATTTGTGATTCGGGTTGTGCAATCATAATGATCAGATACGCTCAGAATGTTCAAAATTTAGAGCTGCAGAAAACCGAAAAGGTGATCTGATTGTCGTGTTGTTCGTCCGATTAAAAAACAAAACTACAAAAACAAGGGCGCCCCAGTGGACAAGGCTAGAAATTTTAATTCAAAAAGCGAAAACAAAAAAAAAATTCCAAGTTCATCTCCACATTTGTGATAGAAGTGGGCATATCTTACATAACAGCTTGGACGTTAATACGTTTAAAAGGTTCCACTGCAACATGGGAACGGCAATCAACACAGTTCACTTATTTTTGTATAGGGATCGGAGGGCATAACTAAGCGGCTCGCTCCTGGCAAAACTTTCAGAGTCAACATACTGTTCTTTTTCATCCGTTGATCCTCGTCAAAACAACAAACACACTGTCACTGTAACTCGTCTTGTCGCTTGATCAAAGCTGCATGGCAAGCGGTGTATAAAGACGCGTCATTCGATAGAAGCTTCCTCGAAAATCCCCGGTCGGGGTGCCCATCTGAAACTCCTGAAAAGATGCGAGGCTAAAATCACGTACAGAGCGCGACACCATTAGCACTGACAGCCGATCACCCGTGGTTCCTGTTTTAACACGCAATACGGGCTGACATCCCCGAGAAAAGTGCAAGAAAACACAACGGAAACGACTACGAGATGTGCAACACGTTCTTCAGAGGGCAATCTGTAATCAAATGTGGTAAACTGAAAAGAAAAAACGAAATTCTAAGCCCGGCTCAACGAAAATCGAACCCACGACCCCATGTTTGTGAGCTGCACTTTCCAACACTACGCCAATTAGTTGTTGCTGTTGCTGTTTATCGCGCGCCAATTCCTGGGTAGAGGCATAGCCTCCTCTATACTCACAAAGCCTGGCAGTTCGACGACGGAGCCACAGAGTGCCCGGTCGCAGATTCGGAGAGCGAGGATCTGGTAGCACAGAGCATTTCTCGGGGAACCTAAACGTCAGCGCACGGCTTTTCCAGCGGCGAGGACCCGAAACATGGTTTTCAAAACCGACGAGAAAAAAAGCGGTAGCGCGCGGGACGCGAGGGGCACGAGCGGATATCCCATCGCTCGAGAGAAGTGTGTTTCGGCGTCTCGCCGCAGCGGGGCGCCCGTCACGTGGTTCTCCTCTCATCCGTTATCTGCCGCTGTACCTTCACCGTTTCGGCGGTCGCTTCTCATGGCTATCTGCCAGGATTTGTCAGTATATAGGAGGCTATGGCAGAGGCTAGCTGGCTTTGTCTCTGCCACGGTGGTCTTCATAAACAGTCCAGACGCGAACGCCGGAGGCCGGAGTCCGGTGTTCAGCATTAAGCCGTTCAGCGTTCGCATTTGAGCAGTTTTAGGGGAAGAAACGAGAAATCTAAGACGCGCACACCATCGCAAAAAAAGGACAGAATTTGGGATGAAATAACGGGCTAATACCTAAAGAAAGTGCAGTGTACTGCACAAACCTCGCAGAATACCGCGGACGCACATTCTGTGTTTACCGAGTTTACTCGTAGAATCGAGATAAGTCGAGCTTTTTTTTTCTTCCTTTTTCACAACTAACAGTAATTTATAAAGCTGGTATAGTGACTGAAAGGATGAGGACGTCAGGGAGTTTCTTCAGCTGTTCAGCGCGAGGTTCCCACCTTCGATGGTGCTTGGGCGTCTCGTGCGCTTTGAGCGTGCACGCCCAGCAAAAGCACGATAGAGGGCAACGAGCGCGTTTTGAAGGCATCCCGAAAGAGACGCCCGCCGTTGCCATCCTGTCAAGGAATTCAACGAGCCCTTTTTAGGCGTCCATGAAGCAACGTCACCGGACGACATTTCTCTGAAACGAACCGTGTGAAACGAGCCCAGTTGACGCCAATCGCCGACGTAGCCCTCGTAACCAATCCATGCCAAGAGCGGGTGCCCCAACAATTGCAGGATAACTGCCTCAGAAGTTACTAGATTACGCGCACTTTCGTTAATATTGCGATTCTCCTGGTCATCGACGCAGTTTGCTTTTCATAAATACCCTGTCTAAGCAAAGTATAAAATGAAGTTCCGATGTCGCGTTTACAGTGTCGCCGTCCTGTAGCCGAAAGGGAGATAGATGATGGGCGTCCCATCTAACACCGAGCATGGCCGATACCACCTAGAAGACTAGGCCCGGGCATGACGTCATCATCGGTGGATCCCCGCACCAAGCGGCGCAAACACGCTGACGGGCAACGAGAGTCGACGCAAAGCAGCAGACGCGTCCGCCTTGGCGTCGACGCGTGCTAGCGTCACGCTCGTTGTGTGACGCTGCTGGACGCGCTGTCGACAACGCACGGTAGGCGTCGCTGCGTGCATCCACTGGTGATGACATTTGTGTGTGTGTGTGTGTGTGGGGGGGGGGGGGGGGGAGAGACAGGCGCGGGTCTTGTCTTCTAGGTGTGCATGGCTCGCGGCGCCAGATCGGATGGATCGGTCCCAGGCGTATTTTTCTTTTGGCGGCTAGACCAGGTCGTCCTTGAAGACGGGCTGTCCCGACGAGGCGTTGCTGTGCCTCTTCCAGGAGGAGTGGGAGCGGTTGTTGCCCACGCAGGTGGTGGTGGTGCTGAAGCTGACGCTGCTGCCCCGCTTGGCCGACGACGGTGTCCGGGCGTCCCCGAACTTGTACGTGCTCGACTGGCGGCTGTTGTCGCCCCTCCGCAGGGCCCTCATCGTCTTCCAACGCTCCAGGTGGTGGCGGATGGCCTTGCGTACCTGCCGGGGGCAGAGGGGTGCAAGTTGGCGCGCTTCGGCAACAGCTATTTGTGTTGTTTTTTTTTTTTTCATCTTGTATATGGCACATGTCAGATGGCAAAAATTACTTAAATTTAGGCGCAACATCGCGGAAAATTTTTCAGGTTGCATCCACATTCACAGCTGTCACTAGCAAAACAAACAAAACAAAAAAGACGTTCAGCCTTTCCACTTGGTGAAGAAGGAAGAGCAGCGGAGCTGTATTATCTGCCGCCATCTATAGGCGACGGCGGCAACCTGACAACCGGCAAGCCGGTTGTCTGCTTGCCGCCATTGCTTATAGATGGCGGTAGCTGTCCAGAGGGTTGTGTCGAGATTTATTTGACCACGGACACGAAACTGGGAAAACTAGCCTTTAACAGCTTCGCTGCAAAAAGACGAGTGGCCTCGAAGACTTAAAGGGACCATGGAACAATTTACTTACTTTCATTACATACAACTCAGAATCAATCCCTGAAGTTCATGCCTTACAAAACACGCATTAGCCTTTTCTCTTCCCTTCAACGAGCGAAAAAAGAAGTAAAGTACGAGCACAGTTCCCGTCCTCAACTTGCAGCAAGAACCAGCGGCCACTCGATTTTGCGACGATTTCACGCAGCGAATCTTCGTCCACGTCCGCTCATCATAGCCACAGGTTAGGGTCGGGAACGCACAGGACACGTGTTGGGCTCAGTACGTTGATAAGGTTTGACTACTCTTTCGATTCCCGTCACAGCATCGATTAGAAATGAGCCGCAACCCGAATGTCTGCCCAGGCATTGATTCTTACAACGCTCGTCGAGTGCCCGCACAGTGCTCGGGACGAATGCGTGAGCCGCACTCGGCTATCTTCACCCTGGTGTGATCCCCCCGGTTACACCAACATCGTGACTCTCACAGCTACGCCGGCAGGATTTCCAAACAAGAGACGAAATGGTCGCATCTATTTTTTGAGTGACACGGCGGCAAAGAAGCTTATGGATAAGTAGCTTGCGTGCGCTTGGCACTGGTGAAGTCTGACTGTATAAAGTGCGTAACAATTGGAAAAATAATGTTTCATAGCTTCCTTAAAAATTCCTCGTCCACATGAAATACTACACTGTCAAAAGTGTGGCGCCTAACACCCCATTCGCACGATCATGAAGGTAGCTTTAGCCATGGAACTTTTTATGGCCGGCAGCGAATAAGTTGACGATTCTTCGCGCGTGGTATGTGTTCGGGACCGAAGGGCGCGGCATGATGGACCGATTGCAGTGGGACCTGATTTAAACGTGATTAGGCTGCTCGTGTAAATAATGTGTAAATTGGACTTTTCCGAGGCAGAGCCGCGTAGTGATTAACCGATAAAAAAAAAAGCAAAGCGCCGTAGAGTGCATGCATTTCCTTAGAGGGCGTGGCAGTGCGGAACTGCACAAAGCGTTCTATTCTGGAACTACTTTGAGACCAGTTTGAGTGTTCCCTTCCACGACCGAAGAGAAAACAAAACGCCACAAATCTAAAACAAAAATGAACCGCCTTTTCGGGGTTTTAGGGACGTCACTAGAGCATACGTTGATTGCTGCCTCGCGTTATACTTCGCAGGTTCTAAATTAGGTGGCTGTTTTATTTCAAAGAGCAAACGTCATTATTGATGCATTTTTATCCGCTACCTTGACTCAAAATAAGTTTAAAAAAACCTTAGAGCCCCTGCATCTTGCAAACAAATGCAGTGTTGGCGCGGGCGCGAGCACCCGGCCTTTGACAGTGCCTTCCTTGCGCGAATAGACCGATCTCACTAAAGTAACTGGATCGTGGGAAAGTAACACCAAGCTCCCCGTATGGTCGCGATTTTGGCCCCTGAAATGAGAACTTTCTCCTTGACATCTCCATTCTTGGTGAGCCGATCTAAGTTCGCTGGTGATGGGTTGCTTTTTGGAGACGTTTCTTGTATGACGTTTCTTGTATGCCACACTCCGGCGAAACAAGCCTACATCGTGTCACCACTATGTGCGGTGTCGGTGCTTGAAGGCATTGAAAAATAATTTCCCTGTTTTTGAATACGCAAGAAGAACAATATAACTGCAAGAGATCCGTGGAGATGGGCATGATTGATAAGTTGATTGCAGACACAGTGCCGAAGACGCTTATAGTGGCGAGGAACGACTTCAGTACGATGATGCCCCATGGTGAGCTTGGTGCGACCACGGCGGGTGCGACAGGATTAGATGACCCCCTCGAAGATTTGAAGAGGCCGAGGTGTCGATCGCCATAGCAACGGAGACCGATTAGGCAATCGCCTTGCGATGTTTTGGTCTTCTGTGTGTTAATATTTGTTTGTGTTCGGCTAGCAGGCAGGGAAGGCAATGGCGCTACTTTCCCCCGATCCAGTGACTTGAGATCTCTCACCAGGCAGTTTGGTTACGCCACCGCTGCCGGAATGCATCGAGAAAACTTTAAGCCTGGTTCAGACAGTTGCGCTTGATTGCCGCTGCGGTTGCGAGAAACCACATCCCTGCTGCCTATATCGCGTGCCAAGATGATTCCTTCAATTGGATTCCACCCTTCATACGAAGCACAGATGTGCCGGTGACTCGCTTTCGGTTCTCGACGCAACGCAGTCAAACGCGGCCTTTAGTCTTTTGCACGTGCGATAGCCTTGCTGGAGCTATGTGCATGTAGAGCTCGAGGCGGCACGAGCCGTCTCGGGCACTGGCGCATGCCTGCTGTGAACTAAAGTTATGGTGGCTTTACGCTTGCGGCCAACGCTTACCGCTCATTCACACTGGAAGCGGATCCGCGTTCGCGAAGCGGTTGGGAACGCGGTTGTATAAAGATCCAGTACAATTGCACGCGCACTCGATGACATCAAGTGCGCGTGCAAATTGCACTGGATCTTTATACAACCGCGTTCGCAACCGCTTTGCGAACGCGGATCCGCTTCCAGTGTGAATGAGCAGTTAGTGAGATCGGCCTATTCGTGAACAAATAAAGCATTTTGTGGAGCTGGGCTTCACAAAATGCTTTATTTCTACTCATGCTTTTTTTTTTTTTCACTGTGTTTATTTGGAGTATGAAGAGCAGTGACAGATGTCAAACTTCTGCAACGTTGAAGCGATCAGTTCTTGCTCGAAACTACCCTCTCATCTTTTCTCCTTACCCCTAAGACAAAAGGGTGGTTCTAAGAAGGTGCAGGTAATTGCATTCAAACACGAAGCTCATTGTCTTTAGACAATCATATTTCCTCGTGTTCATAATGCAAATACTAGTGACCCGTCGAACTCTCTATCAAGCTGGCCGATCAAGTTTATGTACCCCTAAGGTTGACTTCGTGTCAGCGCATCTGTGCAAGGTGTGAGCGAAGCAGTGTGTTCCAAGTTTAAAGTAATAGCTGCACTCGCAGACGACCCTTGGTGTTTATAAAATTTCAGTGTACTTTGAGCACCAATAATGCATCTCCTTCAAGCAATTAAACCAGTGAGAATGGTAAACTAAGGTTCAAATAAAAATATGGTTAAGTTGCAAATAGGTGGACACACTTTTTCCTCTGATACAGCATGCCCATTAAAACGCCTTACCCCTTTTTTTTTTCTTCTTTTTCTAAAGCTTATTAGTATAAAACAAAAGATTGCTGTTCCGAGTACGCTGCTGTGCGGTATACGCTCAATCAGTAATGAGGGTGCAAGGTTCAAAAATGGAATAACAGGCTTAGTTAGAACAATCGCGCACATGTGCAAATATACGAAGCAGAATGCAATAGCTATCTCAAAACTTTCGCATGAAATCTACCAAATATATCCGCTTCACGTGCAGGTGACTGCATCTTTGGCGCAACAAAATCATTCATGTGCGCTCTCAGAGCGAGAAAGGGTCTTACAAAAGTGCTGAAATAAGTACAGACTTACCTCTCCATTTAGAAAGCAGTAAAGCACAGCGACCGTAAAACCCTGCAGAGAAAAAACAAATAAAATGATCACAGACTTTGCAGATACGATTAAGTATGGAAAACAATGATAAAAAACAATAAGTGCCTTCTTATTTCGTACTTTGTAGTGGCAATTCATACAAATCATAGTCTGCAGGATCTGAAGTGAAGTTTCTCACTTTGCCTCGTGTTCTAGTAAACTATTTTTATAACTTTTTTTTTAATCACTCTACCTTTTCAAGGTTCACACGATAATCCTCTAGAAATCTCCCGACCTCTAAGGCTGGTTCACACACTTGCGTGAACTTGACCGAATGCGACTGCAACGTCTGGCTACACGAATCCTTTTATCGGTTGCTATGGCAACAGCTACGTCGGGTCCGACAAAACGGGGGTAACGACCGGGTTGGTTGGAGCCCACACAGCTGTTACCATAACAAGCTGTACAGTACGTTGCAACTTGCAAGCCGTTGTAGTTGCACTCGGTCCGAGTCGACTCAAGTGTGTGAATCGCCCTTTAATCGCAAAATAACGTCGTTCCTCAACCGGCCCCATAAGCTCGTGAATTGTCGTCCTGAAATAATCAAACTCACTGAGCATTTTTAGGCCCAAACACGCCACCCGAACACCGTCACTGACTGAATTTGTCGATATGGGGAAACCAGAGTCCGCGCTCTACACTCTAAAAAAAGATCTGCGGGTTCACTTTCCTGCAGAACACCGAGACAGCCAATATCGGCGAACAATGAAAGGATCCTAATGTACGACGAAGCTCAGGATACGTTCACATCTTAAGAATTCGATGTGAGCCGGACCACTCAGCGAGTGAACGCCCTGTCGTCCGTCATACTATTTCTCCTTCGCTGTGGGCTTAGATTATGACGTCATTTTCTCCGCGCGCATCGATCATTCCAGGTCTATGCGTACTCGCTTCGATGTTCGCTGGGACGCTAGCGTCGTTCGCTGCGGTCGGCCGTCTTCCGCGGGAAAGCGTTCCACGTTGGTTCACGGAAAGGCAGACGAGCAAGTTGCGGAGGAGAGCGTACCTGCGTGGAGAGTAGCGTGGCCTGCAGGTAGGTGAAGATGACTTTCGCTGTCTTGTGGCGGGGCGTCCAGATTACCAGGATGTAGGTTACCCCGAGCAGGGGTATCAACACTAGCAAAGCCTTGGCCGCTTTCCTGAAAGTCAAACGCGCACGCGAGTCGGTCTCACAAAACCTCCAGTGAATCCGCGTACCACATCGCGGGTCTATCTGAAGGCCTAACATCGTCGGTGTCACGTCCCTTCATCGCTGTACCTCGCTTCACGATACCTATAACTGAAGCCAGAACTACGAAAGTCCCTCGATATTTCTTTTACAAGTAACGACAACCAATGCATATGACAAAGCACATTCGGCTGGAACAACATGGTGGCATTCAGTTCAAACCTCTGCTGTGGGCTACCATTCGCTTCCTAAAACCTGCACCGTCACGCAGTCGGCACTTCAAAGAATGTCGCCACTTGTAGGAAGCTCTTATCTACGGACTTTCGACACTATTGTCCTACAGTGGAGTCAGTCGAGCAGTGCCAAAAAGTGCACCGTCACGGCGCACGTCATTTTTGTCCTTTTTGTATTGCCGGCTACATCAATTGCGCGCAGAAGAAAGCGCAGGAGCACGGCGCATTCATTGTGCATGTCAATGTGCACGATTGGTGTAGGCGGTGACGTGGAATGCGCAAAGACGACCAGCGCCATGACGATGGACTTTTGGCGCTGCTGGTTTGCCTATCGGATCGTACCGCTGGCTGCGCTCGGACGGGCACTGAACCACTTTCTGCGATAGTCTATTAATGATCATAACTCAATTGATCGGCCCTAAGCATCCTAAAAAACAACGGAGCATTATAATCACACGTGACCGATGTCAAAATTAAATTCGGCATAAAAAAAAAGTAATTACCTCGGGACCATCGCAGACACCAAAAAAAAAATTGGGTTGTGTGTGTGTTTATACAGCCTAGAACTTGGTCTGCCTCACAGGGGCGACGAGTCTCCCAGCTGTAGATGAGAAATTTAGCCAGTGCGGTACAGCCGCTAGCCTGGGGTCTTTAACATGCATCACGCAGTAGTGATACACGACCGCACGCCGGTACGATGCTCATCCAGATCGAGACGGGCAGGGGTGGGGCTCGAACCCAGGATCCCTGGGTTCTGCAGCGCGAGCTTTCGCTCCACGTGCTCCGAGCTGGTGTGCGCTAGACCACTCGGCCACCGATCCCCCATCGCAGACACCACAAAGCAATGCTTAGTGTTTTTGTTTGTTTTCCTTTTTTTTTAACGATGTTTAAGCTTATAGGTTGAGTTATGACCATAAATAGATCGCTTAAGTGCTTCGTCAATGTGAAACAGAATGTAGTAAACACCCACCATCGAGAGTGCACTATTTTGGTGAAATGAGCGTGTGTGTGGTGTAGGTATTGAAGGGCATGCCTGGTACTCAAAGACAGTCGGTACAAGAAAACCTGCGGCCATGCGCTTGCTCGACCACGGAGTAAGGTGTGGCACTCTGGACAGTCATGAAAATGGTCGTCGAGTTGAAATAAGTCGCCTTCCTCTTTGGGTAAATATAAACTTAGAGGAGTGGCGTTTGGGGGAATCTTATCTATACACGTAAAGGGTGCCACAAAAAATATTTACAGGTTTTGTTTCGTTTACCGCTAAAGTTAACTAGGCATCGCCGAACGCTCATTCTCCGCCCAAAGGTAGCGCTAGAGGTCACAACCAGATGCCGAAGTTTCAGCCCGATCCGATTCTTTATTCAAAAGTTGTAAGTGTTTTTCTAAAAATTTCAATGGGATAATGGCGGCCGACGGAGTTTTCGAATACATGGGGCTCTATGGACACCAGAAACCGAAAACGGGCAAAAATGGGCTCCATTTTTCTGAGGCTGTTTTTCATCATGTTCAACTCTTACCAACTGGCCAAAATCACCACCCTGCTCCATTTTCTTATTTCTTCAAAATCACGTATAACTTTTGCATAAGGTACCGGATCGGGCTGAAACTTTGGCATCTGGGGGCTGAAACTTTGGCATCTGGTTGTGACCTCTAGCGCTACCTTTGGGCGGGGTAAGAGCGTTTGGCGATGCCTAGTTTAGTTTTGCGGTAAACAAAACAAAACCTGAAAATATTTTTTGTGACACCCTGTTCTTGCTACGATCAGTTCACGAGCCAGAGTAAATTTTATATTTTGCATAAGCAATTAAAGTGGTTAAAGCGAAGCTTCCGTTTACTGTGCAGTCGCTTTACGTGACATCCTGCGAATATAAACTGTGTTTTATGTGAACCCCGTAGGAAGTCCCGAGTTCCAGAAATCAAAATATAGTATAGTGTGAATTTGCTAAACAACGATTCTAACGAGACATAAACCTATACCAATTATCATTTTATTTCTTACCCCATAAAGAACGTAAAAATATTAGACTCGAAAGTTGCGCTAAAATTTTCTCTACGTATAATTTGCTTAAGCTCGCGAATAGACCGAATCAGTAGATGCATTTCCAAATGTGTGCTATCGATGACACGAAGTTCTAGGGCAGTCATTTATCGCCTCCTGCACCAGGCGCGGAGCACTATGCTCTAAGTTATCTTTGCTAGTTAATTGTTTACATCAAACTGCTAAAAGTGTGCATACGTCAAATATTAAACGGCCCAAACAGTATACTTCGAAAATGAAAAAAAAAAAAAACCTTTCAGATTCGGTCAGTCCTCAGCCACCGCTACGATATGATGTCGCCAATGAAGCTGCACCAAACCTGCGTCTCCTCGTCTTTGTGCGTTGCCGTCACTGGGCGCACTAATCACGCGCACAAAAAAACGCAGGATCATGGCACGTTCACAGTGATTGTTAGATTGAACAAAACGTTTTATTGAAATTCCAACTTTTCTTTTTCTTTTAAGGGGCTGGGTGTTAGACGAGTGCAGCCTTCATCGTCTATTTATCGGACTCAGCGGACATTATATGAAGGGATAATCGTCATGCTAAGTTGATTCTTAAATATTCGTAAATTAATTTTCGCGTTTTTTTTTCTTTCGCCCGATTTAAATATGCTCGTAAATAAAGCCCATCAAGCCGTGCCCGCAATGACAGTTGCAGGAGCGACGTAGTCGTTTAGGTCACGTTGTCACTTGTGTTGTCGGCGCATCCACCGAGGACACGCTGCCGAGATAGTGACAACACGATGGAATTGACAACGTCATTCTTGCAAGCGTCATTCTGGGCGGAGGTTACGACGCTCTTTTCGAGCGCTCTTTTTTATTCCGGCTAGAAAAAAAACGAGAAAATTGATTGGTTGCAGTCTCTAAAAGTATTACCTGTTCGCAAATTTTCTTATTAGGTCCGGCCTCTCTTAGTAATTGCCGTCAATACCGCAATTCCAACGTCACTTCTCAAAAATAATTAGAAAAGTTAATTGAAATGTTTTATTGAGTGGTCATCTTACCGTGACTATTCTCTCATCTATTGTCCGACGTGCCTGATCAAAAAAAAATTATGAAGGCAAACTCGTCTAAGTTTTACTCCCTAGTTTTTAGCAATGTGTTAGCATTACAAATCAAGCACCCTGTTTAAATTGCCGAATATGCGTAAAGCTCAGGCGAATCCTCGACGAAATTAGAGCTGGCATGGCTATGACTCGTGTAGATGTGGCAGAGTGTGTAGATCCGAATCTGGCGTCATTTTATAGGTATCACAGACGTCACTTTCCGGTTTGTATCACATGAGCATATATTTAAATATGTTTTTCGGGAATGAAAATTCCCAACATTTCTCGTACGCGCATGGCCCAAAGTGTCCAAGGTGTGCAAGGCAGAAGAGAAACGTGCCACAGCTGGTGCCTTCATCGGCGTTCTCGAGAAACGAGAATGAACGCTTCGCGGAAGAAACATTGCAGGAAAGCGTCGAGAAGATGGAAGCAGAGCCCTCCTCCGAAGCCATTCCGGGGTGCTTTGGAATTTCAAATTTCTTTTATACACTTGCCTTGCATGTTTTCGCTTATTGATTAGAGGTACCCTCCACACCGCACGACCCCTATGGCGCGGGAAATAAATATAAATAATGTAAAACGTAAGTGTGGTCCGCACCGGCAGCCGAAGGCACTCGCAATACAACTTCAGCATCCATAACATCGCGCAATAAATTGTTAACTTCGAAGGAAAACAATTCAGGCTAAAGTCATCGGAGCAACTCGTCTGCAATTGTCGTTGCCGGTAGGACGAGTTCGAGTGCTATACCCACCTCTCTATGCCAACAGACTTTGCGAGGTGAATGACATAATGGAGTTTATTTGCGGGAAAAGTCATACTGTTTGTTTTATACGAGCCTAAAAATTTTACTTTTGCATTTCTAGCATAATTTAATTATTATCAAGCGTAGTTCGGCTGCAGCTACCAAAAAAAATACTTTGAAGTATAGCCATTTCTTAGTTTAACGTCCGATAAAAGTGTCCAACTTAAGGTATGTTACTTAAACCTTAAATATTTATAACGTTGAAATAAAAAATAGAAATTTGTCACAGACAATAAAAAAGGAATCAGGAATGTTTTCACACATACTACTCTATACTTACCTTTTATTTACAAATGTTGACACAAAGTCCAGCGGAGTAGATTGCCTTTTTTTAATATTAACTCGCTGCGTTACCAAATATTACCGAGCACGTTGCTCATTCGCGTCATTTCAGTAATAGCTTATGCTAATTACATTCTTTGAGTTCATATGTGTAAATTACCCAAGAGCGTTTTGGATGGCTGACATGTTGTGCAGCATGATTTCAAGCTAATTGCATTAAGAAATAGTATGAAAAGTTTCCTATTGGTCTCAAAAAAGTTTCACCAGATAGGATTGTTTGCAAATAAAATATGCTATATGAGGAACGTGTACCTGTACTGTTGAGACTCCACCGTCGTAGCAGCCCTGAGTTTAGTGATGAGAACCCACATAATTTCAGCCAGGAAAAACATGTTGGTCTGCAAGGGAAGGAAAACAGAAACACGAATTACAAGTTGAAAAAGCCTGTACACGCGTAGCAAATATAACGGTTAATCAATTATTAAAACGTTGAAATTAAACGCTTCTCGGCGGTGTACAAAGCACCTATCACCATAACATTTGACGAGTGGCGCCGGGAGGTGGGACAAACATGGCCCTCATTTGGCAAATATTCTCATAAGAAGACATACTGTACTGTCGTAGTTCTTACTGTAATGTCCGCCTGTCACCGACCATAGTTATGTCACATTTAATAATAAATAATATGAATAACATAAAGTGAGCTAGAACCTCTATATACTGTATCTCAAGTTTATTTAAGTTAGAAAAAAAATAAATTAAGCGCCTAAATAAATAAATTGTATCGTTAAGTAAAACGGAGCTGTGATAACACGACTGACAAACCTCCAAAACGAGCAGCGTTTCAGACATTTCGGAAGAAAGTATTAGAAAGTATTCTTACCAGGAGAACGAGAATAACTGGCACGATGAAAATGCAGTCGTAGAGATCTCTGAGCTGCCAGACGCACCTAAATGGACCCCGGTGACACAACAAAAAACCCAAGAATTAAAACAAAAAGTCGATGCGCATGTTCCAGATGATCTCATAACCGAGCCTTAATGGCAGTACAACGTAGGAGAAGCAGGCACTCATCCGTTATAACGAGGGCATCTGGATTGTGCAACAATTACGCTCTGCCCTCACTTTAGGCACACTTGATTAAACAGAATCCAGGCATTATATCCCGCGCTATGTCGGAATTGCGTAACGTTGTCACGAATACAACCCGGGACCGCGTATCACTACGGCGAAGGCCCGACGGACTCAACTCAATTTAAATAAGCCTCGAAAAAAACATTTTCGCATGGTCTGACACTAATCTAGCACGAACCTGCGGCAGCGTAGTACAGTCGCCCAATTTTTTTAATAATATCAGGCGAGCGTCGACCGCCGGGACGGCCAGCGCTATGCCGCGGAGAAATGCGGCGTCACGGGAGAGATTAGGCGCGCACGCACAAAGCTCTCTGCGGTGCGAGCGTCGTCTGCTAGGCTATTCCGTTGATCGCACACAGCCCCCGTTCCTTATCAGCTGGCATAGCTGAGCGCCTTTAAGCAAAGATCTGAAGAGCGCTTGCTTGCGTGATACCGTGATACTGCTCAGGCGTGAAAGAAACCGCGCGCCATCTCGTTTAATGTAGTTTTATATATATATATATATATATATATATTATTATTATTTGTTTGCGTTTACTCTGTCAGCACCAAAAAAAAAAAAATGCGATGACGCGGCAAGCTGAATTCAACGGTGCATTAAACTATATACCGCAGCCAATGCTACGAGCCATCAAAACCAATCCAGCGCTGTCACCCTGCCACGTGACATGGTGCTTCCACGTGCAGTTGTGCCCAACAGGAAGGCCACGTGACACAGTCTTAGCGATGGACTGGCCAAGATGGCTCGTAGCGTTGGCTGCGGTACAACACAAAGTGAAACGGAGTAAAAACAAAGTTTTCGCATGGTGTTTTTTTTTTTTGTTTTTTTTATGCTACGGAGCAGGGGCTGTGAGCGATCAGCGGAATAGCCTAGCAGACGACACTCCCCGGAAAGGGCTCTGTGCGCGCGCGCTTAATCTCTCCCGTGACGCTGCATTTCTCCGCGGCACGGCACTGCCTGTCCCGGCGGTCGACGCTCGCGCGATATTGTTAAAAATTGGGCAACTGTACATTTATTTTTGTTGTTTCAGTTTTGTTTGGTTTTTATATATAAAAAAAACTTTGTTTCAGTCAAGGATGAAACTAAGTTACATTTTTATGGCTGAGAGTGTAGTTAATCATTTTTGTGTCAATATGATAAAAAAAAACGTTGTTTGGGACGTTTGGGACGTATGATTTAACAGAAACAACAAGAGGGCGAAGAAAAAATTTACGGTTTGCTCTCGTTCCCTGTTTCGCTCACCAAAACGCTCCACTGACCCGAGCATGTTTTCGCTTTTAGTCAAAAAAGACTTAACCGCACACATAGCAATAATAAATGTTTGTCACCTGGTTAAAAACTTTGAATGAGGCAGCTTGCCTTTTGATATTTTAAAGATTCAAATGCCTCACCAGCCCAATAGTTACGCTCAATTACAGTGTAGATCACACGAACCCGATTTTTTAGATTTGGCTAAAGTGGGTTCAATCCGTTGGACCCATGCTGTGGGTTAAAAAGTGTTCGGTGATATCTGTACGCTGTGTATGCCAGGATGCCTCCAATACCCTACAATTCTTTGTTGCCCAGCACAAAGGATCGAAATTTCTTCCCATCTGCAGAGGCTCGTTCACACACTTGCGACTACTTACGACCGAGTACCGCTGCAACCTCTCGCGATCTCTTACTAGAGAACACACTGGCGCCATCTGTCGGGTAACCGCGGCACATTTGCGTTTTTCGTACATTTCCCCTTTTTCTCGCGCGTCATTGTTTCCCTAATGGTTCGGAAAACTTTTGTCAATGGTATAAACGACCGTTTCTCCTTGATAGTAACTACATTTGATCTTGTAAGTACTACAAAACTTTCATGTCGCAAGAGGTCCTATGCGCAGTCGGTGGTCGACAGTCACAAGTGTATGAACCTGTCTTTTGCTGACTATGTACACTCCAACGTTCCTGCGTAGAGTTATACACGCCACCAGACGAAATTCGAGTTCGCAATCGGTCGACAGGGTATAGCAGGGTGGAGTTGGCCCCTTCTATTGTCACTAAGAATAACAGCAGGGCGTGTCCTCCAGCGCGCGCTCGTGGCCCTCCATCGTGCTTTGGCTGCACGCTCGAAGCTCGCAAGACACGGAAGTGTTATCGAAGCTAGCGAGCTGATGCTGGAGGCGGGACAGCCCGAAGACGTCTCTGCCGTTTTTATCCCATCGGTGACCCCAAAGCGGGTGATGTACTCACATCCCATTGGAGAGGTTCGGGTCATTGTGGTTGGGGCTCAGGTAAACCTTGGTGGTCGCCCAGGTGCAGATGATTATCGCCGGGAGTCCTGCCAATAGTACGATACAATACGAGGTAAGGCGCCTGTTCCAGATCTCTTCATCCTCAAACTAGGGTCGTTCATTTCGTCCATCAGTAACTAAATCGACAGATGAAGCAATCGCAATTATTTTTCATTCTACGGGCGACACTTCGCAGAGATTTCGACCTCGTCCATTGTCGCAAGCGCGAAGAAGGGAAAACAGAAACTTTTTTTGCTCTCCGCTCTTGCCGCGAGGCCAGAGAAGTCGGGTTTTCCCGTCGGCCGAACACCACGGAAAGAGACGACCGGGGAGCCCCGGCATGCTGCCACTAACGACGCGACCAAGGAAGAGTCTTAAGGCCCGTTCACACTCTTGCAACCGAGTACGACCGAGAGAGACCAGACCGGTTTTTAAGCCTTTTGCGACTTTTTAGGACAGGATGCGCTGCAGAGGAGCTGGTCCTAAGAGATCGCTAGAGGCTTAAAAACCGGTCTGGTCTCTCTCCGTCTTGCTCCGTCGCAAGAGTGTGAACGGCATTTCCCGTCATCTAATGATCGGCCGGACTTTTGCCGAATCGAAAAACTCGGCGCCAAATTTTTCCCGAACTTTTCGAACGATTTGGCAAAGATGCGGAAAAAATACATTGTTGCCAGACCTACAAGCTGATACTATATGGTTTTTTTCGTGCAAACAAAAATTATGCATATTTACACAGTTATTGCTAAATAAGGTGATAATCTACAAGATAATTGTATCGGTATCATTTTTAGTATGTTGTAATTTTAAAGTGACTCTTTTCAGAAGGGGTGTGACAACAGGACGCAGTCGATACAAGAGTTTTGGTTTCGAGCCCTCATTAGCGCAAGTCTGTGTTTATTGTTGAAATAAAGGCGGTAACACTGTCTTCTTACTTCCTGTGCGCGTCACCGTTTCGTGTGCCGAAGTGAATGCAGCGGCTGCCGAGCCTTCACCAGAAGAGATAACAATATCATTGTAAATTTGCGCATTTTTCGATTTTAGTCACTTCAGCTTTGCATGAAGTGTATCTCCCATATTCGTAATGTCTCGTTTATAACTTTTAAGATACCAGTTTCTGATTTTAGGGCACACCGGACGTTTAGGAAGATCAGACGAGTTAGGAATGTCGGATGTGCAACATCGAGCGTTATAGTTCTGTGTTCAGTTTTATGCGGATAGAGGAAAACCGCGAAATAACGCTAACTGAAAAGCAGTACTATTTTATTTTGGTACAACGAACCGAAAACAGGATCGCTGTAATGGTGAGAAGTGCTCTGAAGTACTTGTCAGTCAAAGTTGCAACTATCTCGTTGCATCACTGGAAAGATCAAATGAAAATCACGTTATCCCGAATGTACCGCAAGAATTGTTACTCGCGCAGCGGACTGCGTCGTTTTTGCGTCAACTTCACGTCGGTCTTCTGTTCTTGAGGCAGAAAATAATTGAAAAGAACCACACTCACAAAGGCTGGCAAACACAAAGTTACAATGTCGCCTGTTCCGCACCTCGACGCATAACCGCTGGTTGTACTGCACTGTACACGGCGGTATCCGCAAGACCGCACGGTGTCCATTTGCAATTCATGTCCCCGGCGTGTTCTCGCGCGTGCGCAGACGTTTGCCGAATTTTCGCTGAATCCTCTCGGAACTTCCCTTCAAAAGTTCGGCATATGCCGAACTTTGCCAAATTTGAAGTTCGGAAGATTCGGTCCATCACCATACGTGTCGTCTGCTTGAAAGACTCGATTTCAAACATTACTCGCGTTATGCGAAATCTCACTTTGGCGCTACTCAGTTGCTACGCGTAATGTTAGATGGTTTTAGGAACTTCCAGCGCGCTTACCCACGTACTTCCCGGATCCCCGAGCACTCGTGTCGGTCGTCAGTGGCATGCACGACGCCAACCACGACGGCTAGGAGATTTAACCAGCTATGCACCTCCACCCTCGGGTACGTGGAGGCACCATTGCACCCGCAATGCGCGGCCGTGCTACAGGCTAACGCTTCGTTTCTTCGCACGTTGTGGGCGGAAAATACGATATTGTTTTATGTTTTTTCACGAACAGCATTGACCATTTCCCTAATCGCCTTCTGCGGGCTGCCATCGTCGTCTACAGGGACTAGGGAACGCCCTGTGAGCATGCGCAGTAGCTCTCTTCTGGGGAATACACTAATCAGAACCTTGTGTAAGCTACAGTGATCGGCTTAGCTAGTTTTCGGGGTAAAATAAATTCACGGTGATTTCTTTCTTTTTTTTTATGACTGACCTAATTTTTTTTTTCTTGTTTACTCTCAGCTCAATCCACACGAGAGATGATAGTATTCTCTCGTAGATACGACGTCGCGTGGAATGTGTCGCCTAGGCCTCGCAATTGCTGGTATTTCCTGGGCGCTGTATTCACAAATGATACGTGCCATAAACGACAACAGACACCTTAAGAGCGATGGGGCGTGGCCAGGCTCAATCAGCTGATTGGCGACTGAAACTGCAACATGACCCGCAAGAAACAGAACCAGGAACCTGCTCCGAGACAACACACACCGTCTGGCAGAGTCACTACTCGCATTTCTGCGCTGTTGGCGGGTTTTGAGCGTTCATGTCATGAACCGTTGATTATTAAACGAATTGCGAGAAATACGAATTTATCTTATCTTGTCATAGACGGGATTACCAATGAAAACTTTGCTGTCTCGCAAAAAGTGGACTTTTTTTTTTTTTTTTTTAGTTTACCAAGTATAATGTTTAGCGCGAAGGTCGAGGAAAAAAGTGCTTTGTAACTTTTTTGAAGAGGCTGTCGATTATTTATTTATTTATTTATGCACATACCTACATCGCCCAGGGGTCATTATTGTAGGGGGGTTACATGAAAGAAAATACATGACAAACAAGTGAAATAACAAGAAAGCCTAAAATAACATAGAAGTTCCAGATACCCAGATACCTAATTCCTGAGTATGTTTTCTGAAACGTCTCGTTAGTGTTGCCTTCAGCTACACTCTAAAAAAAGTCGGTGTGTCTACTTTCCCGCACAACACTCGGAGAGCCAATCACCGCAACTTACGGAGGTAGCTCAGCGAATGACAATGCCGAAACATATGCTTAGACGAAAAACGCAGTCTGAGTTGTGACATTAAGCAATGCAAGCGTGACGTTTTGCATTCCTTAATGCCACAACTCGGGCTGCGTTTTTTTGGTCTAAACGCATGTTTCGGCATCGTCATTCGCTGAGCTGCCTCCGTAAGTTGCGGTGATTGGCTCTCCGAGTGTTGTGCAGAAAAGAAGACACACGGGCATTTTTTAGACTGTAGGTCGTAATGACTGACAGGTTAAGAACGGGCGGGCGTGGTGACTGTCGAACATCTCATTATCGCTCGTCACACAATGACATCGCGGCATTAGCCGATAAGAATGCCGGAAAGATCCAGTCACGAGGCAGGAAACGGGAACCTAAGAACATCCGTTTCCCCGGGTTTCTTAAGCCCGCAACTGTAAACTCCAAATTCAACGCGCAACTAAAAAAAAAAAAAAAAAAATAGCGACAGACTTTTTGGTAACTATTTACCGGCAGTCAGTGGTTAAATAATATTGAAGAAAAAATTTATATTGTTGCTCTTACCGTTTCCCTTTTTTTTTTTTTTTTTACGACGATTTAAAGAAAAGCATTCTCCCGCTTCTCGATGGAGACATTTCAAACGGCAGAATTCAAACTGGATAAGAAAAGGTTGTCGCGAAGGCGTCCTCAGTACAGTTAATGGACTAACAACGGAGCACCGCTCAACTTGTAACTATTCTTTTTCCTAATCTGCTGCTACAAAAAAAAAAAAAGAGAAAAAAAAAAAAGCTAACGGCACTGGCGTTTTTTAATGACCGGAAATGTGACGCGGAAGAAATGCTTGAGCTTTTGATGAGGGTACGGCTCCGAGTGTCATTTATTTCGTGAAAATCTCGGTCAAGAGGTCTTAATTAACTCGGAAAAGAAAACTGTCCCGAATTATCTCCGCGAATGCGAGGGGATTAAGAGAACCGGCTCAGAACCGGCCAAAGTGGCGCGTTTGTTACCTTGACTTTCTAAACATTTACAATTAACAACCGTCGTTGACAGTTTTCACCGCATCTTCCTTTCTTTGTCGTCGTCTTGTTTATTTTTTTTTTTAGTCCTTTTAATACGATAACGTTTTGGGGCAGCCAAACCATGAGATCGTGTGCATAAGTTTGCGCGACTCGATAGCTAAATGGGACGGGAAAATCTGAATGAGGGTGTAATCGTACGCCAATTCAATTTTCCCGCTAAGTATAGCCGTAAGGGTTTACCTCCCGAGTAAGCGGGAAACCTTGAACTGGTACGCATACCTCCCCGCCAATCACTAGGGAGTTCCAGAATAGGGAGCCCCAACGCTTTGGGTTCGCAAAGCTGCTCCAGAGACTGAAAGCTTTGAGACTCCTATGCTAACACCCTCCCATTTCCTCGCTAAACGGGACGCGTCTTCCCGCTAAATTTAGCGGAAAAAGTTGAATTCGTGTTCACTTATACGCCTATTCTTTTTCCCCGCTAAATTGGTGTATGGTCACGCGCCAATTTAATTTAGGAACAATGCACGGCGAAAAACGTCGCCGCGCCGAGGAACACCAAGGCACCCGAGCTCGACATACATCTGAAGAGACGCGAAGGATCCCAAACGCGTTGCATCTCATTCGGCAGCAGCCAGAAGGAATGAGCAGCTTCTTTCCTTTTGCCAGGGTAGCCAACTAGTACTGACATTCAGGTTGACACCGTCGCTTCTCCATCTTGCTTCTCTCCCGCTCTAAATTAGGCCGGGGCCATCTCCAGCGCCGATGGCGTAATTGGCAGCCTGGGCAACCGTCAATCGCCGGAACTCCCAAACTCCGTTCACCCCCGAGCTGACAGTGCGGTGGGGGCTACGCGCTCGCCCGGACCAATCAGCTGCCGCCCTTTCATCACACTTGTACGTATTGCGTTTCTAGTAACACGGTACTTGGACCTAGTTAC